AGTACTTACTATTTTTATATTATTAGCTTTAGTATTTATATTTACGTATTTTTATTACTTATATTTATATTTACTTACTTACTTAACTACTCATAGCCCTTAATTTTTTTATTTATAATAATATAATATACCCTTTTATAATAATCTAAATAAACTACTTATAATAACTAATTAGCCCTCTTTTACTAATTACCCTAATTTACTACGTAGCTCTTACTAAATTATATACGCTTTTATTAATTATAATAAATCTTATATTATTTATAAATTACGAATACTTATTATATTACTTTATTCTTATATAAAACTTAAAATAAATAAGACTTAAGATGCGTAATTAATCTATTATTAATATACTTAATTTTATAATATACTAACCCGCTCTTTTTATAATTAAAAATTCCTAAGCTTAGTACTAATAAACTTAAAACGCTTTTTATTATTCATAAATAAATAAATAATAACGAACTTATAATCCCCTAGCTACGTAAGCCTCTAATATTAATAACTTTAATAATAATAATTTTAATAATTCTAATAAAATTATACGTAACCCTTTATATAAACTTTTAATAATTCTAATACTAAGCTTAATAAATATACTTTATATATAAATATTATAAACCCTAAGGTTATAAACCCTAAGGTTTTTATATTAAGATTATAATCACTACCCTCTTAATAACTACGTTACTCCTTACGAAATTATAAATAGTAATAATATTATTATAAAGTATTATAATATTATTAATAATTAATAGTACCCCGTTCTATATTATAAAAATAATAACAAAATTAAAATTATATTCTAATTCTCTCTTTTAATAAAAAGAGCTCCTTTAACTTATAGAGGACCTTACTAAAGCTACTACGCACAAACTTAAAGTTATTAAATATATTAAAAAGTCTTCTAGTAGTTTTAAAAGTACCTAATAATAAAAATAAATTTATTAATACGAAAGTAATCTTTAAAACTTATAATAATAATAAACGTAATTATTAAAACCGTAACGACTTTTTAAATTTATTAATATTTATAAAAAGATAAAGAAATACTTTAAAAATACGTTCCTCTTTATAAATATTATTTATAAAAATTACTATATACTCTACGCCTAAAAAAACTCCATAATCCTTAATAACGCCTATAAAACCCCGCAAAACCATAAATATCTATAATAAAGTTTTAAAATACGTTAAGTATAAGTTTAAAAATATATTAAATTCTACTCTTTAAACCAAAATTTATATATAAATTAGAGCTTACTATAAAAATATATGCTAAAATAAACTCTAATAGTAAATAGGTCTTACCTTTAATATAATATATTATAAAATTACCAAGGCCTATACTAAGGCCTATAAAATATAAGAAGTAAAAACCTAAAACGAGTACTCCTTTACGTATTAATCTTTAATAATATTTACATAAATAATAAGAACTATATTAATAATACTATTATAAATACCCTCGTAGTACTAAAACGTTACTAAAACGTTTTGACCTATTTATACCTTATAAAATTAAATATATTAATAAGAATAAAGCATCTATTATAATAATTAAGTATTTTTATTACTATATTAAGGATTATATTATTAAAATTACTAAGCTTAAAGTCCGTCTTAGCAAACTTAAGTCTAATATAATTAATAACGCGTATAAAATAACTATCCCCTAAAACGTAATTAATATAATTAGCAATACTAAAACATAAAAACTATTACCCTATATATTATAACTAAGGCCTAAAAAATACTACTTATATAGCGCATAGTATAAACATAATAACTACTCTCTACTAGGGGACTTATAATAAGTTTATTATTTTTAATAACTACGTCTAGAACTAACTTATTATTATTATAAAAAGCTTAAAAACGATTATATAAAAGAACTATTATTAAAACTAAGTTTATAAACGAGCTCGCTAGCTTAAAAAAGGTTAGTAAAATAACTATTACTAAACCCTTACTTAGTACTTTAATTAAAATAACTACCCCTAAGCTTAAAATTATCCCTAAACGCCTCAGCCAGCTAACATAGGTTTTTCTAAAACTAAAAATAAAAAATTAGCGCTTACCTAAACTTACTAAATAATAATAAATAAAAGTATATTATAAAGTTTTAAAATTAGAATATATAAATAAAAAAAATTAAAATAAAGAAAATATTAATTTTAAATATAACTAGGACGGTTATTTTTATATAGGGGTACTTATAATATTTCTTTTAGTTATTTTATAATAATTATATATAATATATAACCTCGTATATTTAAATAGCTTAACTATATCCCTCTTTATAAAAAATAATTATAAAAATATATTTTTATATTACTTATTTTTACTTCCTATTACTTTTACTTTTTAATTATAATTTTATTTTATATAATACGTTCTAATTATATAATTACCTAACTAGGCCGTAGTTTTACCTTTTACTAGAGCGCCCTTTATTAAAGAGACTATATTAGTAATTATTTTTTTACTTATATATAAATACGTAATTAAAAAATATTCTATTAATTAACTTATTAATACGGGCCTCTATATCTTCTTTATCCTTTTAAATAAGCTAAATATTTATAAAATTATTAAGTCTTTATTTAGAATAATAAGCTTTATAACGCCCTTTATTACCCTAAGTTAGCCTAGAATAATTACTAGGCCTTTATTTAGTAATAAGAGTTATTATAATTACGTAGTTCGTCCTTTTAAAATATTTATTTTTATTTTAAATAGGCTAGTTATATTACTAATAATTATCCTTAAGTAGTTATAGGGTCGATTTACGTAGTCCTATATTTAGTAACTAGCCCCTAATAAGCTAAGTCTTTATTTTTATTTTCTTTATTAATATATTAATACTTAGTATATATATTATAAATATACTGAGCTTCTATTATAATATTTAAAAATTCTTATAGTACTTTACGTTTTTTTAATAAGTACTATATACTCTTTAAGTATATTAGTTTTTAAACTTAAAAAAAAGTTCGTAATTTTAAAATAAAGTTCTTATAAAATTAAATAAGCTATTATTATAGCTATATATCTCCTTATATTTTAATATATTAAAAATAATCTTAAGTAAAAAGCGGATTTTATTAGTATTATGGATTTTTATAAGAGTAAAATAGTTATAATTAAATTACTTTTTAGTTTTTACTAATATAGTTCTAAACTATTTATAGAGCTTTTATAAATTATTATTTACTTAGTATTTCGTAATACTACTTTTTAGTTTAAGGAGCTAGTAATTTTATTAACTCCGTATTACTTTTTATAAACTAAAATAAAAGCTTAGTATAATCGACTTTATAATATATAGGTTAGTTATAAATCCTTTACGATTTAGATTTATATTTTAATATTATAATAAAAAGTTACTGGCTACTAAAAATAAGCTCTAAGCTATATTTTATTTTTAAGAAATTAGGTTAAAAAGGTTTATATTTTTAATAAAAATTATATAGCTAGGGCGTTACGCTACGTACTCTTAGTATACTATTTAGTACTTATATTAAAGTCTTAATAAAGTTATTAATAATTTTATTATTATTATTTATAAGTAGTAACTTATAGTTAGTATTAGGGGTAAGTATATATTAAAGGCTTAGTCTTATTAAGTAATTTAATAAGTAAGGGGGTATTATAATAAATACGCTATATACTAAGAAAAGTACTATTATAATTATTATTATTAATAAGGTTAGTATAGTTAGCTATATAGGTTCGTTTATAAAAAAAGAATAGGTCCTAGTTAGTATAAATAGAAAAATAATTAGCCCAGGTATTAACTTAATCTTAGTAACGCTCTTAAAAATATTAATATTATAGAGCCGTTTAGTAATATTATTATATTAATTTATAAACCTAAGTAATAGCTTAGTAATTTAAGGAACTAAGTTTATTTCTTTTTAGATTTAGTAAATAGAAGGGTTTATAAAAATAAACCTAGCGTAGCTATAGTATATATTAATATCCGTTATTATTATATAGTTTTTAAATATTTAGTTTATAAGTACTATAATTATTAATAAGAAGTAGGGGCAGTTATAATAAGTCGTTAGTAATATAAATTTTTAATCCTTATTACTTATTTCTTTTAAAAATTTTATTTTTATTATATTTAAGCGCTTACTTAGTATATAATAAAATATTATTATAGTAATATTTAGTACCGCTAGGGGTTTATATAGCGGTCTTAGTAATATTATTTTAAAATTATTAATAGTATAGTTAGGTCTTAGCTCGAATTAAAGCTATAAATAGAGGTTTTAAAAAGTATTATAGAGCCGTTTTATAAATATAAATATATCCTGTGCTTTACTAATTACTTTTATTATATTATAAATTTTATATTATAATATCGTATAGTTTTATTTTAATAATATAAGTAATTTTTAAAATTTCAGGTTTACTTATTATTATAATAGGAGAAGTAGTTATTATCCTAATTAGTATAATATAAAATCTTAAAATTAGTTTTATAAAATTCGTTTATTAATAAGTAATACGATATAATATCTAGGTATTTATAAAAATATAATATTAATTATTAATAAGTTTTAATATAGCCCGGCTTAAATATTATTTAGTTTAGTTATAAAAGTTATATTAAATAAAGTATTTTTAGGGTCTTATACGCTTATACTATAAGCTCGTAAAAAAAAAATTTTAGATTATAAAAATATATTATTACTTAATATAATCTCTTTAATAAAGGGCGCTCTAATAGAGGTAAAACTACGGCCTAGTTAAGTAATTATATAACTAGGACGTATTATATAAAATAAGGCTATAATTAAAAAATAATATAGGAAGTAATATAGAAGTAAAAAATAGGTAATATAAAACGTGTATTCTTATAGTTATCCCTCCCTATGGGGAGGGATACGGTCAAGCTGTTTAAATATACGAGGGTTACGTGTTATACGTGACTGCTATGGAATAACTAAGGGAAATGTCACAACTATATACTCGACGGCCAAAACCTACTTAGCTGATGCGCCAGAAAGCCTCTGGAAGAGCAACCCTCCGAGATGATTAGTATCCGTAGGAACAACGTAGTCCTTATCACTAACGATTTGGGCCCAGTTGTCTCGAATGCTCTCTGCATTCCACTCCCCATCGCGCGATCCTTGGAAGCCCTCAGTCTCACCTAAGAAGATGCGACTAACAACACGGCCCTGAGCACCGATAACTTCTCCATTAACCTTGCAATCCTGGTGGACAAGCCACGCCACTGCCCGCGCTGGGTCTTCGGCCGGCAAGTTCGCCTCCATGAATGATTGCATTCCGGCGTCGGGGGTGTTCTTCTGAACCGTGTCGGTGAATCCTGTCGTTGCCACCGAGTTGACTAGAATTCCATGGGGCTCTCCTTCAATGGCAAGCGTTTTGGCCATGCCAACGAGGGCAAGTTTGGCAGCCGCATACGCCGCAGATCCAGCCATTCCAAAAATGGTGTGCGACGTAATCATCACCACACGGCCATAGTTTTGCTTCTGCATGTGAGGCCAGGCTGCATGGGTAAGATTGTACGATCCTTCTACGTGAACAGATAGCATCTCTCGAAAGAGAGCTCCAGTTATTTGCTCAAACGGCGTGGGATCAAAGGTTCCAGCGTTGTTGATGATGATATCAATGCGGCCAAAAGTGTCAATAGCCGTTTTGACTAAGGCTTGGGCGACTGAATCATCCGAGACGGAGCCAACCCAAGCCGTAGCCTTTCCGCCTGCTTTGATAATGTCATCAACGGTTGCCTGGGCTGTAGTAGAGGTAGTGCTGTTGACTACTACAGACGCGCCAAGACTTCCGAGTAGAAGGGCATGTTGGCGGCCTAGGCCACGACCAGAGCCAGTAATAATGACAACACGGTCGTCGAACCGGAGTGAGTTGGAGGAAGGCATGTCGACTTGTTGACAGAAGATGACTTAGTGGAGTTAGGTATAAGATGGTATGCTTTGAGTGATAATGATAGATGGGTAAAGTAAATGAAAGGGTAATGTACAGAATCATCTAGGCTGGCTTGAGGCATCGGCATTACTTATACTTGGGATCATTAGGCATGTGAACCTTTTTGAACAGCATGCGGACGGCTTTATGCCTTGTTTCGGTATCCTGGAAGCAAAGTAGGACAGTTTGTTTTCCATGATGCGCTTGCCACATTTCCGAAAATTACCGTGTGCCCCGCATCCGAAGCGAAGACGTGAAAGATGGCGGCCGGATTTCTCAATACCTAGTGGGGCGTCATGCGGACTTTCTATCTATAGCGATATTAGGAATTATTCCTCAAATGCGGACTTTGTCTGACTTGGGCACTAGCTGTAGAGTTGTAAGTTTGCACCCACGAAAGTGGAAGTCTCCGCGCTTAAGCTCAAGGACTTACTACTAACATACGTACTTTGTAATCCGCGATGCATACCCCGAAAGCTTTCTTCACACATCAGGAATCAGTGTAAAGCAGGCTACGGAATTAAGATCGATAGGCCCGTTAACTCCAAACGACGTAAAGATGTTTAAAACGGAGTTTCATTACCCGTAATGTTCGTAAACTCTGAGAAGCGGTTACTGCAAAGCCCGCTGCTAGATTAGTGGCATCGACATTAAGTCGCCGAGGACGGGGAGATTTTACACCGATCAGGTGGGTCCAGTATCACAACCAGCATCACCCCTGGTCCGTCAGCAGTATAGCAGCTATCTCTACTTCGAAGATGAAGCCCAGCGAGCCCGAAGACTTCTATGCCTCTTGAATTGCCGCCAAAGCCAATCTCGTCACAAACTCCTCTCCTAGAAGTTTTGGATACAACTTCATTACTCATATCGCAGCGGCCAACCCGGGCTATGGTTTTGGATGGCCTCGGCATCTGGGAATCGCACCATGTCGTGGATGCTTTTAAAGTCAACTACCTAGAGATTGTCACTAAGCTTATGCTAACGGCCCAGTATCATGAAAGTAGTTTCTGGCTTCCCCGCCCCTTTGTGAAGCCATCGGCGCCAACTAGTCTCGCACCTAGCTCAACCACCAAAGTTCATCAGTCCAATTTGATATATTCTCATACGAAGAAAATTCGAGGGTCCGTCCCTAAGGTTGACCAGCATGCTCAGGAATATATTCTCATGAAGTTTCTCAACTCACTTGCCTGGACACGACAATGCACTGCGAGCTAACGTAATGAAACACTGAGAGAGAGCAATGTGTTCTTTCATTTCCGAGATTTGCTTGTAACAGTGGGCTTATTGCAAGTGCAATAGCCTCAATGGTTGACAAGTTGATTACGTGTTTTAGGCACCTTAGCTCTACCCACCTCTACCTGACAGACTTCATACAATTCCCCCTCCTCCCCACCCCCCTTCCCCAAAAACGAAGGCTGCGTATCACTACTTAAGCCATTCGTCTAAGAGTACCTACACAATTCCGCCCATAACTCCCTACCAATACTGATAAGAAAGCCGTGTTGCAAGACAAGGAAAAAGCTGGAGAAAGACAATCTTTTATAAAATTTTCTGATGCTCGAATCTGACACGGTCTGACACGTGAGTCGGAGTGTACACTGATTGGCAAATCACTCTTCTCAGCTACGCAGTACGCAGGCTTGCTATTAATGCCCGGTAGTTGAGTGTCGGCTACATACAGTTTCCCTAACTCCGTGCTTACCCACTCCCAATAACAGCCAGCACAATACAACCTTGTACAGAATCCGTAGCTTCTAGGGGGTAGCGACGTTAATCTAATTACAGTATTACGAATTCACTTCAGGTGGTCTATGCTTGTCCTTGGCGTATGAAGGGAGCCTTGGAAGTGTCCGAGGATTCGGGCTAACATAATCCCAATCGACGATCTTAAGTAGCGAGCACTTTGCTGCAGGCTGATTAGCTGGCCAACGACCTTTATCACCTCTCTCTCAATCCCCTGCTCTAGGATACACTTTCTGCGGTTCTCTATCATATCTGTTTTCTTTCAGCACAAGTGTCCTAACGAGGAGCTGCCCCTACGTACCTCCATACAGCAATCTCTTCAATGAATTCCATTTCAGGCCTACGCGTCATTATTGCCGGAGGAGGCTCTGGTATTGGGGCTACCACAGCTCAACTCTTGGGTCGCTATGGCGCCAACGTTGTCATAGGCGATATCAACATAGCTGGAGCAAAGCAAATCGCCGAGGATATAACAAGGTCAGGCGGAACAGCTGTTGCAACAGAATTCGACTTCGAAAACGAAGCCAGCGTCAAAGCACTTATTGAGGATGGAACCAAAGCCCTTGGAGGGCTGGACGGCCTTGTGAACATGGGGGCTGCTCTCCATCAGTCACACCTTGGCAAAGACACCAGTGTCGCTGAGATGGATGCCGACATTTGGCGCACGACCATGAATGTCAATCTTATCGGTTACGCTCTGTCCACCAAGTACGCGCTGCCGCACCTCGTGCGCAATAAATCAGGAAGCATCGTCAACATCTCAGCAGCCGCCGCTTTTCTAGGAGAACCACTCTACCCTGCATATGCAGCTTCCAAGGCAGGGATTCACACCCTAACACGTCATGTGGCGCGAAGCTGGGGACCCCAGAACGTCCGCGCCAATGCGTTAGCACTCGGCCTAATCGGCACGGAGAAGTTCGCTAAAGCCTCTGAGGCATCGTCAGCTCTTCGCCGGGTGGTCAACGAACAAATTCCACTCAAGAGACCAGGGCAACCTAAGGAAGTTGCATCAGCTGTAATCTACCTATTGTCACGGGATAGCGCATACGTGACCGGTCAAGTGTGGTCTATGAATGGCGGACTTGCTTTCCGTGAGTAGGTTGACTTCAGGGATCGGGGCGCGACCAATACATCTTAGATTTACGATCGATCGGCTTCTTTAGCTAGACAGGCATCGCAAATTGAATCGCGGTAGGCTCAGGTGTTTGCGGCCCATTGGGCAGCGGTTATGGCCATAAAAAACCCTCCAGAAACTCATCAACGTCTTCATCTGTGTGCGCAAAATTAAGCGCAAAGAAGCCGCCGCGACCTATTCAGATACCTCGCTGTAGAAACCCAAAGAACAATAGGTCTCGCAGTTTATCGCTTTTGGCACTGGTAAAGTGTAAACCGATGCAGCTGCTCATGCCCAGAGACACATGTCCGCGGACTTTCCATGCGCCTTCGTAGCCGCGGCGACGCCCTGCCTGACTCTATCACTGAGCTTGCCGATCCTCTCGATAGCGGGTGCTGTCACCATACTTGCGCGGCAACAACTGCGCTCATGGTCAAGATATTATTGCTGAAGGTGCCTGAGTATGCTAGCTTCGTCGCGGTGCCGGATCCGTGGTCAAACTGCCCCATGATCGACGCCCAACCTTCGAACGCCCCGAATGGCATACTGCTACCAAGATACTCGCCCGATATGGTCATATCCGGTCGGACATCTAGTCGGTCTTATATACCGTAGAAGTCAAGCTGGGAAGTTACTGCCTCATCGAAGATCAAGACCGAGCGTATCGGCCGCGTTGCGTGAAAAGGCTAAAAAACCGCTGGGCATAGCCCGCATCCCTCCAAACCACTGCATCGGCTCAACGATAATGGCGCCAATTTCATCGCTATGAATTTCATTCGTCTGCTTGATCTTGCCACGTGTCCTAGTAACATAGTCGTGGGGGATACCAACGGCTGGTCTCCATTACTATTACTAAACCCCATTGTGCCGCCTTGGTACCGTGGTCGAACACGACTACTTCTTGCCTAGCCAGTGTAAGCCAGCGTAGTGCCAATGGCGTATACGTTGGCTTCCGTGCCTGAGTCGTAGAAGCGTACTACATCGATGCTGGGAAGCGCCCCTTGATAGTCTCGCTGAGCTCCGCCTCGGGCTCCGTCATGGCGTCCAAGCTGGGATCACTGTTCCCAGCGGCGATGATGGCGTCCCTCGGCGCCTCATTCGACTGACTAAAGAGGCCGGTGGTGAAATCGGACTGAGAGTCAACGTGATGCCCTCGACCGTTGTCAGCGTTGCACCTGCGTCGGACTTGATAACAAACGGGAGAGGGATGTTTTCTAGCATGGAGCGGATGATTCCGCCAAACAATTCGGCGTGAGCGCGGTCGATGGGCTTTTGAGAGAGGGGATTCCTGGAAACGAAGTCGCTCTTGAGACGATCTAGATGGGCTTTGTGAAATGGTAGCGCGTTCTTCGTTACTACCGTCGTATGTATTTTTTACAATAATCTTAATCCTTATCAATGTATTCAATTATAACCAACTATTGAGAATATTATAATATAAATTATAGAATTTCATTTCTCAAGAGACTTTTTCAATGGATCTAATGTGTATGACTTGATCTCCCATGTTTAGGAACGTAAAACTTAAGGTGTTTGCTAATTACTTTCCTTATTTCGTTTCTTTCATTGTCCGTGGCCTTAGTGTTTTTTTTTTTTTTTACACTATTCAACTATACGATATAGAAAACTGAAGGTATTCACGTTTGGGGTAGGCATAGTAGGATTTGGTTAATAAAGTCCGAGATGAGTAAGGCGCCGGCGAAATGGCGTTGTGATCTTGCTTGCATGATTAGCGCCCCACATCACCGCCCTTCTTTGACAACCTCCCTACTTCACTGTCTCCATTTCTTCAAACCCCCACTACCGACTAACTTCGGCCAACTTCACTGCGTCACGTTGAGGAATCACTGTCAAGACTAGAGAACCTTCAAACCTGCGCTCGCTGCGACTATTTCAAGTCATTCAACGGGAGGAAGCGATGGAAAAGCCATTGTTAATGGCCGACAATGTTCTGACAAATGCGCGGTCCAATGAAGTGGACGATGATTTCGACCTCAGTCTGTTCCTTTCCGACGAAGCGTCTTTCAGTATGTTTCCCAAAGACTCGAGGAATCCCGACGATGCAGTGAATGGAACGCAATCTGAAGACGGACGGATATCTGCATCTTCAAGCGTGTCTGGTGGTGTCCCACTCTTCGAAGGCCCTGAGCCACTACAAGACACGCCGAATACTACGGAGGGCGGAACGAAAGTGGGCAGTCGCTTCACATCAGCAAACATCAGAGTCCTGAAAACATGGTTCGAAAACCACGAGCGGCATCCATATCCAAACCCGGATCAGGCCGAGCGATTACTGAAGCAAACAGGGTTGACCAAACAGCAACTAACAAACTGGTTCGCCAATACTCGTCGGCGCAGGAAGATTCGCCCGGGGGGGGCCTCCACGCCGGCCCGGACAGAGGCTGGTTCTAGTCCCATAGACGTGCCCGTTCGACGACCGACGCCCATGGCATTCGAGCAAATGAACCCGATGCAACGATGGGAACACTCTCCGCCAGATAGCGAGCCTGCTTTAGCTGCCGATATTTCTCGCGCAGTCGCTGCATCATCTAAGCGCCCAGGACTCTTGGGCCGCTCTCGGTCTTCGGCAGGATCTTGGGAGAACGCCTGGAGCGTCAGTAGCGTTGGCACATCTCAGTCAAGTGGGGGGTCACGTTCCAATGCTTCAGCATACTCCCACGGCTCTAACAAATCTCCGACCCCTATGGAGGCACTCCGGAAGGACTCAAATCGTCGGAGAAGACGAGCAATTCTAAAAGAACGAAGGGGGAACAGGTTGAGCCTTCGACAGATCAATACCTACCAATGCACTTTCTGCGCTGAAACCTTCAAGACAAAGTACGACTGGCAAAGACACGAAAAGTCCCTTCACCTCTCACTTGAGGAATGGGTGTGTTCTCCGCACGGGTCGACCACACAACACCCTGAGAAAGGGGTGATCTGCGTCTTCTGCGACGAAGCCAACCCAACCCAACAGCACCTCGACGACCACCACCAAGCAGCCTGCTCGGAACGACCGGTCAAAGAGCGTACGTACTACCGCAAAGACCATCTCCGGCAACATTTGAAACTTGTACACAAGACAAGTCAGATGTCTAAAACCGCAGAAACTTGGAAGGTTATCACGGACAAGATTCGGTCAAGATGTGGCTTCTGTGGAATCAAGTTTGACTCATGGGCGACGCGCGGGGATCACATTGCAGACCACTATCGAGACGACGGGAACACCATGTCAAATTGGAAAGGCGATTGGGGTTTTGAGCCCCAGATACTCGCAAAAGTCGATAACGCGGTGCCTCCTTGTAAGTGAAACCTGCCCAGTCTTGGAAAACTCCAAAAACTCATCATTCCTCAAGGCGTAATCCAGTTTGAGCAAAGTGCACCGGTGCCCTACTGCGCAAGTGTTTCGCCGGCTGGTTCCGCACCGAGTGCATACGAACTCCTCAAGCTCGAAGTAGAATACTTCGTCCGTAACTACTTTGAAGAACACGAACGACTGCCCTCGGACGACGAGGTCATCTACGAGGCGTGTACCATCTTGTACGCCTCCGAGTTCTTCAGGCCCAGCGGCACGCCGAATGCGTCGTCCTGGCTCCGAGACTTGTTGATGAATGATACGGAGTTGTCTGAAAAGGCGCGTCTACGCCCAATGAACCAATGCTATCAACTAGCCAAACTTCGTGCGACCCAACTCCAGATAATTGGCAAGACGGACATCTTTGAGGACTGCGAACTGGAGGCTCAGCTGTGCAGGCATCTCAGAGAACACCTCGTTCTAGGTCTCACGCCCTCTGACGATGATCTGCAGCAAGAAGCTTGTGTCATTTTGAACAGAATAGAATCGGCATCGACGAATCCTTCGAGAAGATTTGCTGGATTTATAGTCCGCCTCATGTGGAAGTCAACATCGTGGCTGGCACCACTACGTCAGAGGGCCGAAGCCTTTGTAGGGGACTCCTATGAGGAATTAGTACCATGTCTGGATTCCATGGCGAACACATCTGATAGTCAACTCAGCAGCTTCTTCACGGGGCTACCTGAGCTGAACCAGTTGACAGGAGGGGCAGAAAGGCTGATACCAATATCGGCTGGCGTAGTACGACCAAACACTCAATTGAGATCAGCTTACACACAGATATCTTCAAGCTATTGCGACCCCGTCGACGATAGAGATCACATCTCCCCTGACTTCAGTTTTGATTCCATATCAACAAAGCCCAGTGACTTATACACGCGGTTGCAAACTGCCAAATCAATCTTTGAAGGATCTGGACACTCGCTTAGACGATCTGAGCGGTCAAGAGGCACTGATATGCCGTTCTTTTTGAACGACCCTAACAGATATGCTCGTTTGGAAGGGGAACTGTCGCGGTTTGTTGCGACCACCATTTCGCCTCAGAACCCCAATATGCATATTCCTTCAGATGATGAGCTCAGATATCATGCAAGATGGGTAATCTTCGACGAGTGAGTACTGTCCTGTATGATGTTGCAGAATCACGTAAACTAACTTACCTTTGCCAGTGATGACCCGTGGAATCAAACGGCTGCAGACATTCCTGAATGGCTAGCTGAATTCAAGAAAGGAGTCGGCCTTCAATGAAAACATTCAAAGTCAAAGAAGCCCTCACTTGACCAGAGAATATCATCCCAGATTTCTGCTGTTAGACTGCAAGCACTCTACTTACGCTACATGGTTTCCCTCAAACACAATCTCGTTCTGGATCCTCCCGAGACCATCAATCTCAACTGCAACAACATCCCCATGTTTCAAAAACACACCGCGCGAGTACCCCACGCCCCCGGGCGTGCCCATCATAATCACAGTCCCCTTCCTCAACGTCGTCCCTCGCGACAGATGCACGATAACCTGCGCCACCGACCAAATCATATCAGACGTCTCCGTCTCCTGGACGATCGTACCGTTGACCCTGGTGCGGAACCGCAACGCATGCGGATCCGGAACGACACTCGGCGACCAGATGGCCGGCCCGATAGGAGCGAAGCCATCAAAGGACTTGCAGTAGGAGTACTGGCCGCCCGAGGCACCGGGGATCTGGAAGTTGCGGGCGGTCACGTCGTTCCCTGCGGCGTACCCGAGGACGTAGTCCAGGGCGTTGTAGAGAGTCGCGTTCTTAACGTCCCGACCAATGATGACGCAGAGTTCACCCTCGTAGTCTAGCTTGTCCTGCGCGTCATGGTGGACGATGATCGGATCATGGGGGCCCGCGAGGGCGTCTGGTGGTTTTGTGAAGATGATGGGAAAGGCGCATACGGGAAGCTGTGAGTCGTTGGTTTAGAGAACCTCGCAGAAGACTTCAAATGAGCATTTTCACTCACATTTGATTCTATCGCGTATCGGGCATAGTTCAGCCCCAGGCACATGATGATGGGCGTTCTTTCCAACGGGCAAAGCAGCTACATCGCGGAATTGGTCGAATCAGCATTGGTCTTTGCGATGTTGGAAGGAAAAGTCCACAGACTAGCTGGCCGCAAGCTATCTAACACTCACTTTTACCGCCGTGTCTCTGATGTTTGTCCTCTCTAGTCCGACATCTAGATTCCCGTGCAGTCGCTCGATAGTGTAACCAAACTCACTAGTTCGTACGAGATTGCCGTAAAATACACTCCCTTGGTGTTCATATCTCACGAGGGCTTGGAATTCCATTGTTGCACACTTGACACCATTCCCAATAAGCTCGGGGAATATTGGAAAGGAACTGCCTTCCTCCACAAAGCAATCGCAACTCCACGACGCCGCGGCACCGTGCTTTTAAATCTGATTCCATCAGACTACTTTACTCCAGTACATAACTTTACGGATGGATCGTATTTGATGCAGCTTAAATGGTCGGTAAATGATTATTTTCTTTTCCGCCCCCCTGGCGACCGAAGATGCCGTCGGCAGACTCGGGTGGTCTATCACGAATCTCATGACCTCTCTAGCAATTTGCACGTTACGATTTCGCGGCGCGGTATGGAATGCCACGTACCCGTGCACGGCAGCGCCCGGCTGGGCGATGAGCTGCATGTGGGATGTTGAGATGAAGATAGCCAAACGCCGGTCCGGCGATTTCGGGGAAATGTGGTTTCTTTTTAAAGGTAGTTGAGAAAGTGCAGAGTGATTTCTAACCTTTGGGGGGGAGGGCGCGGCGGATATCGCGGGGGTTGGAGATCTTGGAGCCTGTTCATGTTCGGATGAGTTTTTGCCACGTCCCCATGGAGATGTCGGACACGGAGATATGCCAGTCCAGTGGTCACCGAGAAAGCAGAGAGGAAAATCCGGAGTGGTTTACCTAGGTCAAGTGAGTAATCGAGGACGCCGATGATGGGATGATGGCATAAGGTGTTGATTGATTACTGGAGGGATTTCCTATCCTTTCCTTATTCCCACGTGATGGGCATCTTCGGGAAACCCCGCACCGAAAGCGAAGATTCGGCTATTCCGAGTAAGGTAGATCAAGCTCAAAGGTTCTAAATGAAGTTTCGAGCCGCAGGAGGACAAGAGCGTGAGGGAAATTGGGTTGCCTTTTTTAGCATATTTAGGGAACAACGAAACAATTACCCAAGGTCGGGCGCTAGAGTGAATAGACTCGGGCCGCAAGTAAGAACCCGCGAGGCCGTGAAGAGGACCCTCTATCCAATCAAGTTTCACCGAAAGCGATGTCTACGGTGATTAGTCTCCAGCCTTCGAAGATTTGGTCGTGTCTAAGAGATTGTCACTCTGTGGAAACTGGTTCTCGCTGCGTGACTTGCCCCTCAGAGTTCGGCGCGAATGGCACTCAGCGGTTCGGTAGTGGGGCGCGGCAGAGATCCGGCGCGGGGTTTCCTGCATGATGCAGGATCAGGCCGGAGGCCCTTAAGTAGCGGGGGTGGGCTACGGCCGTGACGGGACATGACAGATTGTGAATGTAGATAACACCAAAGTGATCCGAGGTGATTAACACCTGTACAATCCAATACAGACCTTTTCGTCCTGGGCTAAATGTAAATATGAGAGTCCTCATCATCGGCGCAGGTCTCGGCGGCCTCGCTTGCGCCATAGCGTGTAGAAGAGAGGGGTTCGAGGTAGTGGTTCTCGAGAGGGCGAATAGACTGGTCCCGGTAAGCTCACCGAAGTGCCATTCACGATTCCCATTCCCGCTTTCAGTGATACACTCGTTTATCTAAGCTAACCTCTACCTAGATCGGCGCAGGTCTTCAGCTTCCGCCCAACGGAACAAGAATCGCAAGACAACTAGGCTACCTCGACAAACTCCTGCAATGCGGGGTCGTCATCGACGGGATGGAGTACCGCAGGTACGCCGACGGCGCGCACCTGCACACGCTCTCGGCCAAGGACGCGCAGGCCCGGTACGGTGACCTCTGGATGGTTGTGCACCGGGCTGATTTGCACTACATCCTTTGGCAGACGTGCAAGGAGATTGGCGTGGATCTGTGTCTCGATATGGATGTGGAGAGAATTGATTTTGACGAAAAGAGGGTGTATCTTGAAGATGGGGATGATATTGGCGGAGATGTGATTATTGGTGCTGATGGTGAGTACGATGTGCTGGTTGGGAGTCGTCCTTGTTGTTGCTGATGGTTGATGATAGGGCTTTGGTCTATTTGTCGTGATCAGCTTCTTGGAGCGGCTTCGCCGCCTGTTGAGACGGGGGATCTGGCGTATCGCGCTACGTTTCCGTTTGACTACCTCAAAGCTCTGAATGATCCCGGGGTCGACGATCTCTGCGCGCGGAAGCTGGCTACGGTGTGGATGGGACCCGACAAGCATACCGTGTTCTACCCCGTCAGAGGCGGGCGGGAGTTCAACCTCGTGCTCATCAGGCCGGATAATATGGAACTGGGCGAGAAGCGCGTGCAGGGTGATATCGAAGAGATGAGGGAAAGTTATCGCGGGTGGGATGAGACGTAAGTCTCTGGCAGCTTTTCAAGCTGCCAGGTGAGGTTTTACCCATCGCGTGTAGTTACTGATTTTCTTCTTAGATTGACAAAGCTCATCTCGCTGATACCGAGAGTGCAAAAGTGGAAGCTATGCACGCACCCCGAGTTGAAGACGTGGACCAAGGGCTGCTTCGCTCTTCTGGGCGACTCGTGTCACCCGAGTCTTCCCTACCAAGCCCAAGGCGCAGCCATGGCAGTTGAAGACGGCGCCGTGATCGGGAAGCTTCTGGGCCTCTTGAAGAACTCCTCGGGGGCAGAAAACATGGTCCCACAGATTCCCGAGATCTTGAAGCTATATGAGACGCTTCGGAAAGACCGGACGACGGTGAATGTGCAAGGTGCGACATCGAATCGAAAATGGTATCATGTTCGCGACGGGCCGGAGCAGGAGGCTCGCGATGCGGAGATGACGGGCGCACCGCTGAGGGATGAGTTGTCGCCGACGGGGTGGCGGTTGATGGATGAGGATTATCGGATGGAGTTAATGGGGCGGGATTCGGTAGCAGAAGCCATTGAGGCCTTCAAGGAGTGGAGACAAAAACAAGCCTGACAATGCTTCTGTATGATGATTGACTATTAATTGATTCTATTCATAAAGCTATTGAAGTATGCCTCTCGGTAACGCCGAATCTAAGTTAAGTAGAAAACCCTCCCAAATTGTATAAAGCAACAACGCGTTGTAAATCACTTTTCCTTCCTGGCAATATGCTTTAATGATAGTTGTATCGTAACTCATGACGTCTTCAGGCATCTCTCGTGTATTCGGACTTTTGGCGCCAAGCATGACCGTATCTCATGATAACCACCGGGATGGGCGCCAGGCAAATGCTGAACGCACCCAGCATAGTGAAACCCCAACCATAACCGAAAGACTGCACCATTGGTCCGCTAGCAAGGGGGAGGAAAGTGCCAGCCAGGCATCTCGTGACGATGACACCGGTCATGGCGGAAGCAGAGTACAGGCCTGTAGCGTCGACGACGTAAGCGGAGAGAGGAAGGGAGGCCATGAGAAGAGTGAAGCCAAGCATCGCGACCGATAGGAGAAGAAGGCCGACAGGAAGGCGAAGTTCCGCGATCCAGCCGTAGGCGGTGATGGAGAGGGGCAGGGTGAATGCGCCGATGATGACGAGCGGGAGGCGGTACTCGGGGCGTCCGACGGGGTCGTTACCACGAAGCTTCACGTAGATCCTATCCAGGCTGAAGTTGCTGACGATGACACTGATGAATGAACCAATACCTGTGTTTGTTAGAACGCGAACGTATCGTGCAAAAGTTCAGAGTAGGACTTACTGAAGGACATGAACGAAAGACCAGTTAGGGTAGGCGAGAAGCCATATACGTCATGAAGGATGACGGGCAAGCTGATGGACATGACGTAAAAGTAGGCGAATGTTATGCACCCAAAGAACGACAATCCCATCAAAACATTTGACCTGAGCAAGACATAGAAAGGCCGCTTGATCGACTCCCATAGCTTGATTAGGCTCTTGTGGTCATCAACTCCGGCAGGGTGAAGCGGTGCTCCGTGCTCTTCCGCATGCTTCGCGGCACGTCGTCTCAAAATGGTCATCTTATACGTCTCTCGGAAGCAAGTGAGGAATAAGATCTCACACACGGTCGCCAAACCAGCACTCATCCAGAGGACTTGTCTCCAGCCGAGGGTCTGCGCAATGGCGCCGCTGATCATGGGGCCGACCGCACCGCCGATGAGCGGGGCGAGAGATACTATGCTCATCGCCGAGCCGCGGTTGTCCGGAACGAACATGTCGCCGATGATGGCCGGGTTCAACACATTAGAAGCGACCGCGAGACCGGTGAGGCAGCGGGCGCCGATGAGGAGCGGGGTGCTCGTGCTGATAGCGGCGAGGACGGTGGCGATGATGAAGAGGATGTTGGCGGCGTTCATGACGGGGTAGCGTCCGTAGATCTCGGAAAGGGGCGCGATGAGGAGAGGGCCGGCGGCTTCACCGAGCTCCCAGATTGTGACGAGCAGGGCGCTCGCCGGCGAGTTTGCGCCTTCATTCTGGTCTAGGTCTTGGATGATGTGGGCGGCTACAGGGACGACTGAGATGCAGGTGAAAGTGCTGTGCCATATGTCAGCACAAATGTAGTCACGAGATGTTTGATGCAATACACATCAGGTTTGATGGCTGTCGTACACGGTGAACGCGGTGAGAGCAAGCAATGCGACCAGAGTCCACTTGAAAGGTGCGGGCCATTCCCTGGGGTTCTCAGGGTCGCCATTGGGATCAAAGTCGAGCAAGTGCTTCGAGATGTCTTCCTCGCAGATGGGGTCCTCAACCAGCAGAGGCTGCTCCTCGTTCATGTTTGGCATGTTGTCGGCCGGGGATTCCAATGACAGAATTGTATTAGGAACAGAAACGCAGCAAGTATGTTCAGTCAAAGAAAAAGGTTAAGGCAGTGACAATGAGCGGCGGCTAGATGAAGGGACCACTCGACTAAGGTAAGGCAGTAGGAACCGGCTAACAAAGCGGCATGGCAAGCGCCTTTTTGCGTGATTGCCCCACGCCCTTCGCCATAATTTTTTTTTTCTTCCTTCTGGCCCGGACGAAAATTTGAAAAGCCCGGGGGGTCGGGAAGGTGGCGACGGCGGGGCCGCTGCTTGCTGTTCGTCACACGTGACATCCGCTTATGTACTACGACCGGCTGTGGCATCCGGGTATCTTTCATACCGTAGAGTTGCAGTATCAGAGAATCTTTGGTTCCATCTGACTATCGATCTTGATTTTATCTTTATCTTTTGCATTCCGCAAACGGAGAACACCACGTCAATGAGGGGTCCAAAAAGTCGATCTGAGGAAGCACGGGCATTAACCTTTGGATCTTAAGATTGACTCTTTTGATTGGTTCAGGCCAGCCCCGCATCACTCTTGATTCGGCTTAGTGCGAGGTCGGTACTCCGAGACTCTTCCTTCGGGCCGGCCGGCGGTCTCGGTGAGCGCAAGGTCTAGCAGCACCTACCCACCGTAAGGCGCGAACGACATCTTCGGAGACCGTGCCTTAGTGTTTCTATCATTTTGAACCCGAAAACCATACCGAGGTGGCGCAGGCATGCAACATCGATGCGTAACCTTGAGGTAAAGTGCGGGAGTGCTCATAATACCACAGTCAAATCTTCGTCAACTTGAGAGAATGTCGCACGCGTTTCTGGGTGGGGTCATGATATATTGATATTTTGTCCCTACCTTGCCCACATTGAAAACCTCCTAGGCATCAAGACTTGACCGATCTCGTACACCCAAGTACCTCGCCCCAGTCATAAGAGCCAGGACTCTCTATCCCGTCCTCCCTAGGGGTTTCATTTCCATCACTCATGTAGGAGTCCTCGAGAGCCCCGTCCACAGTGTCCTCACTGGCTTCGTAGTAGATATCTGCGGCATCATTTTCGGCTTCCTCCAGTATCTGAGCCCTAACCACCTTCTTCTCAAAGATGTCATCGACGGCGGCTTCAAGCAGACGGCCGATGAGCGCCTTGTGATCACGATCCTCTCTCACCATGTTTTCAATCACTTGCTTCTCTTGTCTATCAAGTTCCTCGCGTTGACGGCGGATATCGTCGAGGCTGAATAGAGTGCGGTTCTCCAGAACATTCTTCGTCAGTACCATGGCCTTTATTTTCTCATCGACCTCGGACATCAAGTCCTCCAGCTGAGCAGCGCGGGAGACGTCTTGAAGAGTCTCAGCCACTACCAGTGCAGTCCGCAAATGTTGGCTGACTTCGCGGGCAGTCGTGGGCAGTCTGTGCACAGCAGTGTGCCTCAACTGATGTGTGCGGAAGAGAACATCCTTGATGGGGGTGTTTGCCGGTGCGGTTGCGTGCGCAGGCAAGTTTAGGCCAGCTCTGTTGAAGACTTTGGTCCACTTCGTTAACTCGACCGCTGACGGACAGTCCCAGCCTTGTGATCGAAGAACGTGTGGTATCCATTTGGTCGCAAAATCAAAGCAGCATTCCTCCAGAACTCTCTGAGTGGTGGTGAGGATGTCATGTTGAGTCTTGTAAGGGAGACAGGCGGGATACAAAGAAGGTAGCCCAGGGTGCGGCGGTGGACTTGTCAGAGTGACCCCTTATGCCTTGTCAGTGGTCTTGTATAACTGGAGAACTGTACATGACTTACCGGAGTCGATATCGCACATATCTGCGAGATCTTGGGGAGGCGTTATAGCCTTGACTAAGGCAAGAGGCTCGTCGGCGAGAGGTGCGTCGGCAAGAGGTGCGTCGGCAGGAGGCGCGTCTTCTGGGACCTTTTCTGCTATGGGAGTAGGAACTGCTTCCTCAGGATATGATTCGGGAATTCGATCAAGTTCATCGTCATCATCCTCGCCTTCCGATTGACTCATCTCGTCTAAGGCGTTTGCAACTGACCTCACTGCATCGGCCTCCGAAGCCTCGCGATCAGCATCTTGCTGCGGGGTGCTTTGGAAGAGGCTCGGAAACATGACTTTGGCTCTGAGATCGGACTCAAATACCCGGCATTCCAACAGGTGCTGCGACATGAGTATGGTCTTTTCCTCGCCAAAACTGAAGAAAAGTGGTTTAACAGTGGTTGTGTTCTTGATCAGGGCCTCTTTGACCTTCTTCTTCTTTCGTAAGAGAGCATCGTTACCGCTAAAGATTGCTCTACAGGTGCAATACACCCTTTCAAGGTCTTCCTTCTTGTAGGCCATGGTGATACACTTTGGGGAAGATGAGAATCTTTCGATGCAAGTAGCAGAAGGGGGTTGACTGGTGGTTGGGCTGTATTTATATACGGTGCCAAGAAATATCTGTTACAGCTGGTTGGATGCCAGGCTGCATGTCTTTGTTGGTGGTCGGCCTCCCGCAGCGACCGTCCCAACACATGTTCAAGGCACCGAAAAGTGGCGAAAGGACCTGCGGGTGTGTCCTTGGTCCCATCCAGCTCACCACGCTACACCTTGGACTGTTAGGCTCTCATGCATGCCATATGCTTATTCTCGCAATTACGATCATGCAGGTCTACTTTTGGGCTTAGTTTTGACATCGATATGGTTGTTTATTGGCTTGAGTCTTCCAGCCAACTCGCCAACAACGGCGCCTATGTTCCCAACTCAGACCAGTGCTCATGCTGCCAAGTATAGAAACGACCATCGGCCCATCATGCATATTAGGCATGTGTTTCTACAAATGTGAGTGGGGAATCCGGCTGCGGACTCAAGAGAGCCTTATGGGTGTGCTCAAATTGAACAAAAGCCTAAAGCAACACAATAAAAGAAATAGGCGTCTACTGATTCAACTTTGGTCCCATGTCTTTCCTCTTACATTGTTGACCATGCTATTAGATGATTATGGGATAGATATATAAGCGAGGCACAAATATTTCATGACAAGAAATGGCCTTCAAAGGGTACGAAAAAGACGAAAGAGGAGTGCACCCCTCGGTGCCTATTTGGAGGCTGCATTTCTTGGTGCTCAATCTGGGAATCAAACTCGAACTTGTGACCTGTCGTTGATCAGACTCATTTGCGTATCAATTATCGACTATAAATCACTCCACCACTCATCCAAGTTTGACCTTAGCCGCCGACCTAGACGGGTCGCTGCTGGTTGTGGCGACAGGAGTAGGTTTCATGAAGCCCTTACCCGCTTTTTGATTTTACTTATTCAGATGGCAAATGGGAATGGAAGAACTCAACGAAAGAAGGGTTGGAATGGCAGATATGTTCAACATCACTTGCTTCTACCCTATGGCTCGCCCTGGCGCTAGAGGACGCCGCATGTTCCTCCTAAGGCCGCTGCGTAAGTCAGATTTTGGGCCAAATATGCTTCGCTCTTGGGTGTATTTATCAAAACTTATAGCAGTCATTGAACTTGAGGTATTGATCTTCTTCCAACAAAGTGGAGGCCATTCTACTTAGTGATACTGATACAGTAATACTCCTGCGCCCACATCTTTGTGGCGCAATTCTCCCCATTTGCCCCCAAGACCGGATTCCAAGCATACAACTGAGCCAGAGTGACTCCATTGGCGCTCGAGAACGTGGTGCAGGTCGCACCTGAAGGCGCTTCGGCGTATCGAGCACAGTTAGAGTTGATGCCATCTTGCGTCGGGCCAGGGGCAGCCACGGTGATGCCGACGCAGTAGTACTCGTTGGCCCACATGGAAGACGCGCAGTTCTCCCCATTGGCACCGAGGACTGTGTTCCATGCATAAAACTGATCGGTTGAAATGCTGTTGCTGCTCGCAAAGTCGCCGCATACTACTCCGGACGGAGCCTTGGCAAACTTGGAGCAGCTCGAGACGATGCCAGTTTGGGTCGGGCCAGGGGCTGTGACTTGAGTAGCAGTAGTCGAGACTGCAGCCGTGGTTGTTGCTGCGGATGATGATCCGGAGACACCAACACAGTAGTACTCGTCCGCCCACATGGAACCAGCGCAGTTCTCTCCATTTGCTCCAAGTACGCTGTTCCAAGCGTAGAGCTGAGCGGTTGTGATGTTGTTGCGAGAAGCAAAGACGGTACAGACGTCACCAGAGATTGCCTCTGCGTACTTATTGCAGCTAGACGTGATTCCCGTCTGGGTTGGACCTGGTGCAGTTGCGGCAGAAGTCTGGGTTGGCTTCCACGTGCCGATGCAGTAATACTCGCTAGCCCAGAGAGCGGTTGAGCATTCGGAGCCAGCAGTGCCAAGAACTGGGTTCCATGCATAGAGCTGTGTTGGCGCAATCGAGTTGCGCGTGGCAAACGCCTCGCATCCGTCTCCAGCAGTAGCACTTGCGTAGTTATTGCACTGGAAATCTCAGAGTTAGTCTCGCATCTTCATGTTGATTTATTATCAATGGTTCGTCTTACGTTGGTGACAAGCCCGTCTTGGGTTGGGCTAGGGGCTGTTCCTCCCGACACAGGGTTCACAATGTCTGTTGCGGTCGTCGTAGCCGATACTATGCCGCCGGCGCCTCCTCGTTGTTGATTTCCGGCATTGGCTTCTGTGCCTAATGGTGGTGCAGGCAATGTGTATGTAGCGTTGACGCCAGGGGAACTATCCAGGAGTATTGGTCAGTCAACTTCACATTTATCATAAAATAGATCAAAGTCCTCCTTACCTTACGCATACCCACTGGCCCTCTGTAAGACTGTCACAAAGTCCAAGGACGTAGGTATTCCACTTCTTAAACTGCACGATAGTAGTGTCACCGCCGATGGATGCCGCGATACTCGCACTTTGAGGACGTTCATTAGCACTTAAAGCAGCTGGCAGAAATTGGTTCGTGATACTCACCACGTCTCGTTGCTTCCAACTTTCTGTAATGTGCACCGCTGAGGAAGACACACTGAGCCAGAGACAGCGCAGGTTTCACTGTTGGTGAACCACTGAAGTGCGCCAGTGCTTACGCCATACTGAGACGACAAGTCATCGCATGACGATGCCTGCCTAGGCTCTAATCCAGGCGCAGATCTTTTTATCCAGTCCAAAGCATTATCTCTTTTTGATGCAGCGGCAGAGCCAAGAGTCTGACCGACGCATGTGGTCGTGGCAGCGGCCGTGGAGGTGGCAGTGGCCACGGCAGTCGTCGAAGATCCCACGTTTACGGAAGACAGTGTCGATGCAGTCTGATAATCCCAAGGCAGTGCAACAGTGAAGTCGGGAATAGTTTTGTTGCAAACGTCTGAGATGTCAAAAATCTGATCTGCGAGATATTCTGAGTAGTCGGTATCCGGGACGAAGATGGACGAGATGCGAGTGTAAAGCTGATTTATAAAACAGTCATTGCATAACTTGATGTCATGTCAGTGAGTCCTACGTTGACATCACAGAAGTCCGACTCACAATATCGTCTTCGTACAGGTTGGCTAGGCGAACGTTCGCCTCGGGGATGTCCGTGGAGTTGCCGCCGCAAGTGGGATCTGAGGGATTGGCATCACAGTCGACCCGCAACACATCAGCTCCGACCCACTCCTGCGACTCTGTGAGACAGTATGTGTAGTTATCGGATCTTTAGGCAATTAGTATGATTTCACAGAGATGGCTTCAGGCAACGAGACTAACCGAGACGGCAAACATGCAAAGATGAGATTGTCCACAACTCGCTCAGTGACCGTCCATATGGGTACAAGCTTCCCATATGCAGTGAAAGACTGCTCGAAGCAAGGATCAGAGACATTATAGTTCCACGATCCAACGGCTTCAGCACAGCCTGAGTCGCAGACAGCCGTGAGGTTGTCATCGGTCCACCAGTAGTTCTCTACGTTCATCGTCATCTGCAGTAACGTCTGATCACATTCTGGAATAGTTTGGTTTCTATCTCAATCATTAGCCCAGGCATAGTATAAGAGGTAACAGGTTAAAGACACTCACAGTGCTGCAATGCAGTCTGATGTGACGTTCAGTGACTTGGCGAGCTTATCGCCGTTGATAGCTGGGTAAAGGTTGAAAGAGTGACATGTTTGCAGAAAACTAAGTGCAACGAACAGAAGCCACAATGAGTGACTCTCCATGATGAAGTAAATTGGCTAGAGCGGCGGGCTTTGTGCTGGTAAGGAATGGACGGACACGAAATTGGTGCTGCGGCTCATCTCATGTGCGAAGCCTTCGGTATATGGATCTCGGACTCATTCACAATTGACTGGAAGAGAAAGACATCGACAGATGATCAGCTGGTTCGAGTCTCTCATTGATGTTGTCAGCATCAGATTTGGCACTAGTAGGCCGGAAATTGGTCTGACAGCAGTGGTACCAAAGTGCTAAGGGAAGTTGCATTAGGCCGCAGGCTGCAGCTTCTAAGTATGGGGCCTGCAAGGAACGCTCTACCCTGGCCGTGTGATATTGAAGCCGAGGAGATTGAAGAACTGCACGCGACGGGAGCTCATTCTGCAGGGTTGAAATCCTTGCCGGAGTCGGATGTCCCGCAACTGAGTCGGCAATCGCATCTTTTTTCCTTTGAGCGAGCTGCGACGCGTTTTGATAGGTTTGCCTGCTAGTCCAAACTGCAAGGAAAAGGAGTTGTCTCAATCTTTCTTGCCTCCAAGTAAGCACAGCGGCCCGATGCCGTTCAGTAGCCTACGGCACAGCAGTCATCTGGACTCAAAAAGTGGTTCATGTCAGCGGCACTTTCGTGCCGAGGGAAGCCAAGACCGGCCAAGAGTAGCCAAGTCCAGGTAAGCTTTTTTGTGACAGGGGCCGGGGGTTAGATGACATTCTCCGCCCAACAGGGCTTGAAGGGTCACATCGCCAGCTCCATGCAACCAACCTGCTTACTCCCTGCGGCCGTTGGTCTTGAATTTGGGATGGCTTCGGAAGCAGGTGAGATGATAATTCAGTCAAAAGAGGGTCATTTGATTCCATCTCAAGTCAGGCTGACGAGGAAATCCTGCCAAGCCGGTCGAAGCCGCCGAGACAGTCTGATCATCAGAGCCTGGATCAACATGTTGAGGGTGTTCATGGGTGAGGTTTTAGCAATCTGCATCCGTAATTCTATCTGAAATGGGCGGTATTCGGCGCTTCATGTACCCATAGCATCAGCTTAATCTCACTGTGCATCAAATGGTCCGCGTCGAAATGCGACTATGACCCCTGCAGCCCGGGGTGGATCAGGAGCCAGCAAGCGAGCACGCTGTTGTTGCCTGTTGATGAACAACACGCCGGTTCTCGATTATCAAGAGCTGAGTTTGGGTTAACACGATTGCAATATTTGTGTCTTGGGAGCTGCCGTCCTGCTCTGGAAACTGGTTCGCTTCAGAGTCACGCATCATTCCAGACTCCAAAGTGTCGTCCAAGGCCGCGGGGATGTTTCCACTCACTCTACTTTACGCCTTCATGGCAGCCATTCCTTTCCTCATTTCAGCCGTTCCTTTAGACTCTAACAACCACGTTGCGCCTATCACTCCTTATTCAATTCCTTCTCTTGACCACCTTCTTACTGGACGAGCCCTTCCGACTGGCACATGCAATGCAGACACTCCATGTGAGAATGCCGCGTGCTGTGGTTCCAATGGGCTTTGCGGCTACTCTCCAACAGAGTGTGGCAAGGGCAATTGCACATCAAATTGTGATGCCAAAGCTCAATGTGGACAGTACGGCAAAGAAGGCTCTCAGGAATGCCCCTTGAGTGTCTGCTGTTCTGAGTTCGGGTAAGTGATAGAGTTGATGAACCTCTACCTTTCCATATCAACCATGCATTCGCTGATCAATATGCATCAGATTCTGTGGTTCTACAAGTGATTTCTGTGGTAAAGGCTGCCAAAAAGATTTCGGCGGCTGTGGAAATGTCACAAGACCATCTTGTTCAGGCAATTCTGTCTCCAAACGCACAATTGGTTACTATGAGGGATGGTCCAACACTCGCAGTTGCCAAGCAGTTTCACCGGAGGACCTCAACCTCAACGGATTCTCTCACATCAACTTTGCATTTGCATTCTTTGACCCACGGACTTTCCAGATTGCTCCCATGGACACCGAGACTGGCAAGCTTTACAGCCGATTCACAGCACTGAAGAAGAACAACGCCGGGTTAGAGGCCTGGATCTCTGTTGGTGGCTGGTCATTCACCGACCCCGGAGCTACCAGGACAGCCTTCAGCGACATGACGAGCACATCTGGTAACAGGCAGAGGTTCATCTCTGGCCTGATTGACTTCATGGAGCACGTAAGATACCATCAACAGTCCAGTCTGAATAGCGTCATTGAAGGGAATGTTTCCTAAGACTGACATCTATGAACTTGTAGTATGGTTTCGACGGTGTTGATCTTGACTGGGAGTACCCTCAAGCCGACGATAGAGGCGGCGTCACAGCAGACAAGAAGAACTACGCTCTTCTTACGAAAGAGCTCAGGGCTGCTTTTGGTGAGATTCCTATCTAGTTTAATGACATTTCGGCTCGACTGACCTCTGCCAGGCTCACGCTACGGGATTTCAATGACGCTGCCGACGTCATACTGGTATCTTCAGCACTTTGATCTTGCATCTATTGCAGCAGATGTCGATTGGTTCAACTTCATGGCTTATGACTGTGAGTCTCACTCAATCTCCAACACGACATTACTCAATCTTGGACTAACATAACTTGGAAGTGCACGGAACTTGGGACGCTGCGTCTAAGTTCGTTGGGCCTTACCTTGCGCCTCATACTAATGTTACTGAGATTGACATGGGTCTCGACCTCCTATGGAGAGCTGGCGTAAAGCCTGCCAAGGTCATTCTGGGCCTCGGATGGTACGGACGCAGCTTCACGCTTTCTGACCCATCTTGCAACAAGCCCAATGGCGTGTGCCAATTCTCTGGTGGTGCCTTGGCAGGACAGTGTTCCAACGCATCGGGCATCTTGACCCTGCAAGAGATCAACGGAGTCATTGACTACAACGGCGTAAAACCCGTGTGGGACAAGGACGCCATGGTGAAATGGATTACCTGGGATGACAATCAGTGGGTCTCGTACGACGACGACGACACTTTTGAACAGAAGCGCAAGTTTGCCAACTCCCGCTGCTTGGGAGGCACAATGGTGAGCAATACTACTGTTCTACCTAGAGTAATTGACAAGCTAATTCAGTGACTTAGGTCTGGGCCATGGATCAAAGAGACCAGGGAGAAGACAATGGATTGGCTCCCGCTTCTGGTGTCACCACTGGTCAGCAAGAAGACGCCCAGGAAATGGCTCAAGGACTTGCCGCCGGAGTTTCATGTTACACGACAGATTGCGGAGCGAGCTGCAAGAAGGGCACTAACCCGGTCACCCAGATGAATGGGCAGCCCGGCATGCTCTCAACCAGTGATCGCTGCGACAAGAACAAGTATCGCACGCTCTGCTGCGATGATGGCACTACCATGGGCACTTGCAAGTGGCGCGGCTACCGCGGTCTAGGTCTGTCATGCATGGGTGGCTGTGATGATGAAGAGACCGAGGTCCTCCAGGATACGAACAACCACAGCAAGAATGGCGACCAGACGTGCACTGGTGGTATTCAGAGTTACTGCTGCAAGGGCTTCGAATCAGCTCCGACGAAAGAAGAGCTAGAGGAGGAAGCCAAAGAAAAGGCCGAGGAGTTGGCCGAAGAGGCGGCTGAGCAAGCAGCTCTCGACATTGCGGCCAAGGCTTTCTGTCGACTCGCTATTCCTGCTCTCTTAGCACCCTTGGAGTTGATTGAGGCTGCGATCCCGATTATTGGTATGTTCCGCGACTTCCATGCCTCTTTCACTTCGCCCCTGCATTTTACATTCTAACGTGGATGATTCTAGGCGAAATTCTGGATATCGCCGAGATCGCCGCGACACCAGCCCTGATTCAACTTTGTACCGACGGCATTGAGAAAGAAGGCAAAGCGGTATTCAAGGTTTTCGGCAAGGAACACTCCGTTTCGTTCAACAAGCCATCCAAGACAGTGTCACGGCCGCCTAAGTCTACTCATGTATGTTTCTTTCACCATCTTTCGTCAAGTTTCCACATGCAGCCAAATGCTAATATTCCGCAGTCACCGGCAAAGACCTCTTCGTGTCCTTCAAACGCTAAGCGTGCGGATGATGGGAGACCCTGCAAGAGACAAAAGCGCTATATGACATCCCATCGAACCAGTGAAATCGTAGTCTCAACCAGCAAGCTTGCAGGCAACGGCTACAAGATTCCTTGCAATGGCAATGGGGGCGTCTATCCGGAGGCTTGCAAGAATTACAAGTCCATTGTGGACAACTACCCTCAGTACAAGACCATTACCTGCCCTTACCGCAAGATCGACGACAAGAAACGCCCCATCACGGGAGTCTTCAACCAACAGCGATCGACAGCCCTCTGGGATCCCGTCATCGCTGCGCCTAACGGATGCTCCCCAGACGAATACCCGCCAGCTGTCATGGCACCTGTGAACGATGGGTACAGCTTGCTCACCTCCATGATCAAGGATAGTGATACAGAGGTACGGAGATTGCTCAGTGCAAAGCCACCCTCGGTAGATGGACAGATGGTTCGCTATCTCGACCTGGTCGACAACCGAGAAGCCGGAAAGATCTTCGACAAGTGCCGTCAGCCGCCTGTGGCCAGTGATATGCATTCGACCACCACCGTCATCAACCCAGATGCCCGAGTGCCCATCGAGTGGCATTTGACAAAGGTGGCACTTTCACGTCTCGTTTGGGAGCTCGACTTTGATGGTCTCCCTGATGACTCTGACGATTATGGTGTCGCGGACAATATCTGTGTGCCGACGATCAACGGAGTGAAGCACCCCGGCTACGCTCTCCTCAACGAGGATGAATATTTTGATACGCACGCCGCAGAGGCAGCTCTGAGAGCTACCTGGCCGAATGGTCCGGCACAGAAGCGTTGGGTTGAGCCAGCAGGCTTAGTGGTGGAGGGCGTTAACTCTACCAGGGTGGCGACTCCAGAGGAGCTGCGCGATCACCTTGGCTTCGATGAGTGCACAGATAGTAGTTGCTCACGAGAGATTGAGAAGCTGAAGGATGTCGCTAGAACGTTCAGGGACAAGGCCGAGAGGGCGGCCAACTCGCCCGCGGAAGCGCCGGCACCTGAGGCAACGCCTGTCCATGAACACAGCGTCGTCCAAGCCGTTCCTCCGAGCCAACCTGGACGGTCGTTTGACTCTGATATTCCTATGTATACTGGTATCTGATATGTTTAGATCTTGACTGTAGATTCTAATACAACTTCACAAACTCTGCTGTTCATACCTCTGCTCGTGACGTGCCTATGCCGCTTGATTGATCCTTACACTAGATTACTGCCTTCTTCAACCATTCCGCTAGTTTCCTGCGGCCCTCCTCGCCATTGTAGTCTTCTGGCCACCCGTTTTGTATCACAATCTCTTGGAGTGCCTCGGAGAAAGGTTAGTCGGGTTCATCGAAACTAGGTGCGCGGCAGCTTACTTCTGTTTCTTCGGCCCAAAGGCCTTGCGACAGGACACCTGGGTGGTCATGACGGGGAAGGCCAAAGTACTGAAATGTCTTGTACTTGTCGATGATTTCTTCTAGCCACGCTTCCAGTGGAAGAGTGATATCATCGCACAGTGTCTCTCTCCACATCCTAGGGTCGCCCTTTTCATATCTCCCTGCTGGTTCGGGGTAAACAGCGCCCGTAATGATGTACTTGGTCACTGTGCCATCCATCGTGTCCAGTATCCATATGTCGCCGTCCCTGTTGACACTCATAGTGAGGGGGATCACCCAAGCTGGAAAGCCTTCAAATGACTGAAGGTCATGGGACAGAGCATGCAGCCATTTGGGCTTGAACACTCCAACGGCTGGTATCAAAGACACGGCGGTAAGGTAGTTGATGGGGAAAGTTTCCGGAGTGATCCAAAGGGGGTTGCCATCAATGTAGGGTAGATGCTTGATTAAGTCTACCACTCGCTCGTTCAAATGTCTCATTCCCGAGGCCGCGAGCGACTCAGGGGTAATTTCTGGCCAACCCCCCGACGGCGCGCGACGAACTAGGGAGGGGTCGATGTGCGGCAGACTTTGGTAGAAAGTCGCAAGAGAGGTGATGATGTTGTCACGGGAATATCGAGGCTGTTGGCCCGGAAGGCGTGGGTCCGATGGAAGATCTCTGGGGTCCGGAATAGCCTCCATCTTGGCATTCGTCTTGGCATTCGGGTGATGGGTGGTGTGAAAGAGTGATCGGGAGAGAGTGCTTGTTCAATCAAGAAACCCCGCGCATCCTGCAGCTTAGTAAGCCTCCAGGATGATGATCAAAATGTCTCCCCCTGGCCTCCTGTTTGTGGACATGCTGGCGCTTAGGTAATGTGAGAATACAGCTTCATTCAAGGGTGAACAGTAAACGGTCTTTTTCTTTCGACTAACACCTTACCTGCAAAAATATCATGGCCACAAACAAGACGCATACTCGGGATATTTCCCCGGCACGCCATAAATCTGACTCATATCGTCACTGAGCATCTGCGGCCCCTTCAAGAACGAGTCCTTCTCCTTAGGAATCTCCTTGGAAAAGAGATGCCTCTTCAGTGCGACGTTCCATGCAAAACTCGAGTGTCCCACGCCTCCAAACTGCGCCGCTCCCAACATGACCAGAAAGTCAATCATTCCTTTCTGATCCCACGTCAACGCATCTAGCCTCTTGCGGTTCTTCCCCGTCAGCAGGTCCTGCTTCGTCACGACCCGTACCCCACGCGGCACGGCGTCTTCCTCGAGCATCGCCACCTGTGTCTCATTCCCGGACGCGACGTACATGACTGACAGACCCGCTCGACTCGCCTGGTCAAAGAATGCGTTCGTCTGCTTGCTGTACTCGGACCACTCCCACGTCGGGTCCGCCGGATTCCAGTTGTCTAGAGCGTCCTTCTCAGTGCGCAGGTGCGCGCCGAAGAAATGCTTGTTGATGCTGAGGATCGTGGCGCTCGCGAGCTGCCGAACATCCGCGCGGAACTCGAGGATGGTACCAAAGGTGTTTGCGAAGACCTCGCCATCGCTATGGATCGGGTAGGTGAGGTACGACCGGCCGAGGTCCACCATCATCGGGCCCTCTGTGAGGCGCCCTGTCGGCGCGGCGTCAGTGGTGTTGTTGATGTCTTCGAGCCACCGGTATAGTTGCGACCGCCACTTTTGCGGGCGCTCGATGCCCGTGCTGGCGATGTGCTCCTCATCGACGAGGGATTCTGGGAAGAGGCCGAGAGACCATGTTCGCGCTGGTCCAAGAGATTCGTAGACCTCGTCGGTGTCGTTGTAGAGGCGCAGCTGTGGGCACGAGAGATGCAGCGAGTCGATGAAGTGTTGCCTGTCGAAGAGGTACTCCATCTCCTGCCGCCGTCCCGTCCGGATGTGAGAGATGTCCGAGTCGTTGCGCTTGAAGATGCGCGGCATGACCAATGAGCCTCCAGCCAGCATCGTATATCGTACACAGTTCAAGATCGAGTTACGGATGTTTCCGATCCCGCCGACGTTGTTGTCGCATGTGAACACAACTTGCATCGCCTTCCCTGCATCCCACTCTGTCCTGTCGCAAACCCCCCGGATGACATCCGAATTGACCGGCTCAAAGTCAAAGATGTCCTGGTGGGCTAGTCGCGGAATCCACGGCACCATGCTCGAATCCATGCCCACGCGATCGAGGCCCAGCTGCTCACGGAACACCCACAAGAATAGGAAAAAGACGCTTACTGCAGCCGCATTGGTGAAGCGGCCGAAGCGCCGTTTCGGGTACCTTCCGACGATGCCCATGATGTGGTTATTGTGGGTAGACCTGCGATTCAAGCGGCCTCTAGAAAGGATCCCCATGGGGAAAGAGAAAAGGCTTTGGGTGAGGTTTTGAGAGTTTTCCTTCGAGGGAGTGTTCATCCCTTGTATGCCAGCGCTGCGTTCCAGAGCATCGCCCAAGGGTTGTGGCTCACCCCTTTCATGATTAGAACAGACGCGTTGTTGGTGACTTATCGCGTTTTTCTCAATGAACATACATGGTTAGCTTAGTTGTCGCTGTCGTAGATCCCACCGCCGTCACATCAATAGTTCAGCCCCAAGCGGAAGCTAAATCAGGCCGCTCGGACCCTGCTGAATTCGGGGCCGGATAGCCCTTCGAAGAATTTCAGATAAGCGAAGCAACAAAATCATTGCTCTTTGTCGAGTTTTTCCGGGAGCACTGCTTTCTGGAATGCTAAGAGCAGGCAGGTGTAGTCGCCCGCGTGTTACCCCTTACAGGAAAACGGTCATATTTCATCCCTTTTGTCCTACCTCATAGATGCTGTGAGACTGATCGCATCTGATTCGAGAGCAATATTGCAAGGAAACCTAGCCAGCCTAAACCCAATCATGCGCTTCCACTTCCAGAGGGAGGGGCAGACAGCATTGTCGTACAAAATTGATCTATTCGTTCTCACTTACACAATGCATTCAGCTTCACCAACATCGAGACCAGATGACGAAATCGTCGCACATCAGCCTTGGAATAAATCCTTGCCAGCACACACGAACAACATCCTTTGTTTACACGAAAATCTGGAATCGTCCATCAATCTAGAAACAGTAATTGAATCTAGAAAACATTCGGGGCATGACGTCTTCTGGTGCTTGCGGGGGTCAGATCCAGGTTTCCTACTTCTCTCCAGGTTCGGCATCATTCCTCCTTGGGCCTCAGCACAACGTTGCGCCTCAAGTAAACGCTAGATCGGATTGATTGACAATGCAGTAATGCCGAGCCCTTTATTTCTTTCGGGATAATCAACTAGAGAACCTCTCTAACTTGCTCGACAAGCTCTCTGGCAACTTACAAGACAATGGTGAGTGTTTCTACAACCATTCAATGCCGACAAGTCAGTGGCACTGAGCTTTGATTGGCTACTATGTTTTATGAATCTTTCAGAGGAAAGACGCCGAAGGCGTCCAGAACTGGCTTTTCTCCCATCCATGCGCCGTCAGCCAGTCAGAGAATGTCTTCATCAGCCAAAGACATGATTTGATATGCTCTTTGCTTAGTACCTTATTTAGCAATATGTCACTCCACGTTCACAAGACGGAAGCTCCTGAGAAGAGCAATTGAGCGACTGGCTGCGGCCTTTCAACATGCCGTCGGCGGCGGCGTGCTCAGGCCTCGGTCACGTTGCAAACGCCGATGCTGACTCGAGAACCAGAGTGGAGACTTTAATGACCCGAAGCTGGTTCACAGTCGCAATGGAAGAGTCGAAAGGCTGATATGTCCACCGCGGCGATGGTTACAGCCAGTCCCCTTGTTCTCGTGGCACCGCTGCGGTCAAGTCTTCTGGTCTGTTGTTCGTCTTAGGCGCTTCCGGCGTCCGAAGCGCCTTTGTTGCATTGCTCCTTGCCTGTGTTTCAAAAGTGGCCGTCGCGGAGCCAGTCGACATACTTCGAGTCACAACCCCGCGTGAGTGGCTTTCGGGACGCCCTTTTGGATTTTGCTGAGTCTTATTCTGACAATGTGAATACACGGCGATGTTGGTGGTGTGGTCTTCATGCATGTTGCAGATAGCCCACGTTAGAACTTGGGTCGCCTTAGTGTCATATGCATGCAGCTTTCTTTACTGGGTACCTTTAGTGAGGTATGATTTCTCTACGGTCTCGATATAGGTGCGAGCACCGCCTATCGGAATCAATTTGATGCCAGTTTCCCGCACTTTTTGTCATCACCTCAGATTAGTCAACAGGTGTCAAGAAAGATATAGATGACTTAGTCCAGGAACATCTGCTTCGGTATCCACTCCCGAAACCTAGAAACCATGCGCTACCGCGGGCCTTGCTCGGCACTGTGCCGATGGGCTGAGGATCGTCACCAGGGGACCCCATTCTTCAATGCTTCCAGAATCGAGCTGATGCTCCGTCTGTTGCACTTCAGATCGTTCGAATAGTCAATCTTGCAGGACTGAAGTATAGGATCGGACACTATTGCAACACAATTCTGAGTTCTGGGCGATTGAGAGATCACTGTCCTTTCAAGATTATCGTTCCCTTCGAGGCAGCACCAGAAGGACACTGAGTATTCGAAATCCAAGTAATCCCGTCGGCTTTACAAGTAGGACATTATGAGTAAAACGCTCACTAAACCATTGGTCATTCCCTAATCCGACTGCGACTTCCCAGTTCTGGTCATTGCCAATGGTATTGAGCAGGGATCAACAAGGGTCTATAGTATTAGAGTTTCTTAGCATTGAGGCACATGGCGCAGTTTGGATGAACTCCTATCAGTGTTGCAACCTGCTATTTCTCCTACCAAGAGCCATTTAATCTATCTGATTATCGGCATTTCTTTCCTCTGCACTCCGCCTCGTGTATAAGATCATTCCGATCGACACCCTCGAGAACATCGCTGTACACATCTACCACACGGGAAAACAAAACACGTCAAAAGATCGCAACACACAAAACCACAGCACAATGCGTACATCTTCATTACTCGCTCTCGGCGTCAGCGCCCTCGCCTGGACAACAAGCGCCCTCGCGCCGCGTCAAGGCTCCGCGCCGTACTGCCCTCCTCGTCCGGCAACACCAGAGCAGCAAAAGGTCATTCTCGGAGAATTCATGCAAGCCTTCTACGAAGAACGAAACGCAACCAAGGCCCTCCTCAACCACGTCGCCGAAGACTACATCCAGCACAACCCTGGCGCTCTCTCCGGTCGCGCGAACTCTCTTGCCGTCCTCGAGCCTTTCATCTCTCCGAACACGGTCAACTACACCATCATGAACAAGAACTTCCAGGACAACATCGCATTTATTCACTACCGCATGGATCTCGTGGGTGGAGGGCAGCCGTTTGCCGTGGTGGACGTTTTCAGATTCAACGGGACTTGCGTTATGGAACATTGGGACGTGGCGCAGCAGCGGACTGCCAACTCAACGAATCCGATTGCTTTGTTTTAGACCATGCGGGAGTTGCGACGTTCATGACAGTCAGCATATAGAGAATATCCAACCACCAAAATTGGCTCATTTACTTGCGATGAAGCTCGTCAACTCGCTCGCGATCGGACGATACAATGCGTTTTAGAGAGGCCAAATGACTGCACCGCCCGCAAACTCGTGATTTCTAGTTCGATCTCGTTAGACACTCGCTGCCGTGCTTTTCCTCTTTCCTCGTTTAAATGACTATTTAGCAATGATCGCGGGCCATTGATATCGAACAGGTACCAATGCTGCTTGTCACGTACAATCCTTTGAGGAACTCGTCCACAAAGGCGAGGCCCGAGAGCCGAGAGGTGGGGAGAGCGGTGGGAGTCTCGGCCTCCGTGCCGGCCTGATTGCCGGAAGAGGAAGGTAGGAACGGAAGGACAGCAGACGGACGAGCGTGTCTATTCGCTCCGAGTCTCAAGCCGTCGCCGGAGTGTACCCCTATTCCATGCATACGAGTGGGCGCGATCTTGAACCTCCATGTCTGCTTACCTGATTCAGACATCCAGTGACATGGGACAAGTGGTAAGCGTATGTGATATGATGTCTTTATGGCTCAAACTATGTTGAAGTGGGTATAGATAGTAACATCAAACTAGAAAAGGAGACCTCGCTGGTGTAGTCAGTCAATAAGATATCGGCTGGTTATCGCGTATCCTCCCATATCACAATGCGCCTAAAAGCCCAAACATGTACGCACATTCATTTCCAATGAGCCCGCGTTTTGTAAACCTTTGCGATTTGCCCCTTTGTGGAGTTTCTACTCCTCCCTATGAGACCTTGAGTTCCAACAATAGTCGTACTGTTGACGTCGAAACAATTGGTCGTGATGCTACCGGCACAAAAATCGTAGAGTTTCCTCTTCGTGAGATTGCAGTATTTCCTGTCGACAAACGAGACGATGTCATACCCGACTGAGTTGGGGTGTTCGCAGATCTCCCGAGCCGTCTGACCCGGTATCTCGGTCAAGATTAGGTGATCAGGATCCATGTTTGAACCTTGTCTCTTACTCAGGCGCGTGGAGTGAGTTCTCCTCCTTTTTCGATACTGCTTTTCCGATTCGCCCTGTTGCACGTATACGTCCTTATTGTACTTGAAGCGATCTAGGGCTTCGATGGGATTTTCATTTGTACCTTCAAGTTTCGGGTTGATGGAATCCTTGTTGTACTTCAGAACTGGGTAGAAGAATGGTACAACGCCGTCTGGTATGAGATGCTTCCAGAAAGAGTACCGAGGTGTGCTTTTACACAGGTATGACAACTCGCTATTGTACAATTTCAACTTATCAGGCGAAGGCAGCATGTCTCTGAGGTGAAAACTCATAGCCCTGGCGTTGAAGTTGGGATGGGAGTGATCTGAGTCCAACCATACACACTTGGTCATGAGGTTACCACCCTTGAACTTCCGTTGGCTGTAGTACCATGCTTGACCGCATTTGTATCCAGTATCTCCGTAGACCGTCCCACTGAGTCGGCCGTTGGAAACTTGGACCATTGCAATGCATGTTGCGTCGGTATCGTGACTCAACATGACATATTGGGGATCAGATATCTGCCCGTTGTTCTCATCGTTCGGTATCTTGACGGTTCGCTCGCTGCTCTGTGCTACCTTGTCGCCTAGCTTGGTGCGGTATCGTCCTATTCTGTTGCCATTATCGTCCCAAATGGCAACATCAGGAAAGACACCGCCAGCATCCTTGAGATCGCCTCCTGCTCCCGTCACCACGGTCACCCAAGTTTCCGCGATAGGTTTCTCGGGAATAGCTTCTTTGATAATGAAGGCTGCGGGCATAAAGGTTCCAACAGTATTGAGTGTGAATCCAAGGTGGCTGTTCACCCATGTCGTCAGCAGTGCCATGGCAGCCCCAGGGTCCAAGTTTGCAGGATTGGCGGGTTGGTTTTGAGTCGTACCAAGAGCTCAGAAAGATCGACTGCAATGAGCCGAAATGCTGTAGAAGGAGGTCGGAGGCTTAATACCCGCAGTCTTGCAGTAACTTTCCGTGTTGGACACACTCGTCAAGTATTAATCTGGTCGATGAGACCTTGGAGTACACGAGTAATGGTCCTGCTCAATGGAAGGTCTTCCAATTTCCGTCAAAGACAGTTACGTATCATTGCAGATTCTATGGTACGAACCTTCGTTACGCGACGGATTCTGTATTACGTGGTAAGAGAACATTCAAGTGTCAACTGCAATCGGTTTGCCGGCCACACTAGACAGTGTGCATATGGAACTAATTGTCTACAAAGTTACATGTCCATCCGTTTCAATGAACCCTGCATTGTGTGACAATCCAAGGGCTTTTACTTGAAGGTAGGGGGCTCTACTATCCCTTTCATATCACCAGAGTGTGTTGTGCCTTTATCTACTAGTACGTAATGTAGGGCCGTGCCAAGGGACTCGTACACGTGACACTTTCAGTTTGGTGCATGAGATTAGTTCAATTTGATGTGAGAAATGGAACGGGCTTTTGCTTCTGAGTCTTGCATGTTCCCAAAGATAGTGGCATATTGCGGAGAAAGAATGAGACGAATGTAGAGAACGAAAGTTGATTAAATTAAATATGTGATAGAAATCCCCCACTCTAGTTGCCATGACCTTGAAATGTACAGTATTAACGAATGAAGTGACCAACAATTCGGACTATGCAAAGTCTACAACCAACACCATATTCTAGATTAATGAGCGAATAGCAGGCGAATCTGTCAAAAAACCCGCTTATTTGGAGCAGAAGGACCAGGAGCTCTCAATGCTCCAGGAGAATCCAGCGGAGAAAGAAGGAGTGTAAGAAGCAGCAGAGGGGTTGTACTGCTGAGTGAAGAGACTGCAGTAGGTACCCTTGGCAATACCGTTCTGTTTGACCATGAAGGCGTTGAAGAAGTTGCACTTCAGAGGGCTGTAGCCGAGGAAGCTGGCCCAGGAGCTGAGGCCGACAGACTTGGAGTTCTGGGCGTTCTGGGCAGCGGCGTAGGTAGCGCAGAGGCTGGCATCGAACGGACCGGGGAAGAACTTCTGTCCCATGCAGGTGCTGGGGTGGGAGTGGACGACACCGCCGCAGCCCTGGGGGTTGGTCCAGCCGGAGGGAGTGGTGGGAGTGGTGGTGTTGGTCTTCTCGTAGCCGTTGGAGCCGGTGATCACGACCTGGAAGCCATCACGAGTCTGGCCGGTGTTGACAGCAGCAGCCTTGTCGACGCCGGAGCCCCAGAGAGTGCACTTGTAGTTGGAGATGGAGGCAGGGTTGGTGCAAGAGCAGCCGGAGGGGTTGATGGAGGGGTCACGCTCGACGTAGATGTTGATACCGGTGCACAGGTTGGTGGCGTCACACTTGGCAGCGCAGGCGGCGACGTCGTAGCTCTTGAGGGTGTAGAGACCGAGGTAGCTGTTGGCGTTGACAGCAGCGCTCAGGTCCTTGAAGGTGTTGGCGTATCCGGAGGGGTTGGCGGCCGACTGAGCCTCCTTGTGGAACTGGGCGAAAGACTGGAAAGCCTCGACGGTGTCGGGCTGGACCTGAGTACCGTATCCATCGGGCTGGACAGCGCAAGGGTCCTCAGGGTTGATGAATCCGCAGTAAGTGCCAACCTCGAAAGGTTCAGCGCAACCAGAAGCAGTGGTGAACGCGAAGGTGTTGGTCCAGCTGACCGGGGTGCAGGTCGAAGGCGCGGTGGGAGCAGTGGTGATGGTAGCGGCAGTGGCAGTGGTCACGGCCGTAGTTGTGACAGGAGCGGTCGTCTTGGGAGTGGTGACGGCAGCGGGAGTGGTGGAAGTAGTGCAGATCGAGGTAGTCTTGGCGGACGAAGTGGTGGAGGGAGATCCCCAGCAGAAGCCAAAGAAGCAGAAAGTGCGCTTGTCGAGGCCACGAGCCGCGACGGACTGAGTGGCACTGGCAGAAGCGACGCCGGTGACAGCGGCGGCGGCAGATTGAGATGCAGCAGCCGCGTCGTAGACGCCAGTCTGGCCAGTGGCCAGGGCAGGAGGTCCAGTCAGGGTGGGTGCAGCGGCACCCATGATGGCATCGAAGTCCATGGGCGCGGTGGTGGTGGGCGCGGCCGACGCGAGAGCCGCGAGGGCGATGATGTTCAAGGAGTAACGCATGTTGATGATACGAGGCTCGCGTTGAGCTGGAAGCAGAAAGTTTGAATGAATGTTGTTGAAGGAGATACTCTGGCTCAGAAGAGAATGTGATGCTCAAGGTGAGAAGTGATCGAAGCTGCTGAGATGAGGAGAGAATAACTAAATGAGCCTGGACATGAGGGCTGGTTATATACAGTTGTTGTTGTTGCGATCATATGTGGCGGCGTATCTTGACATCGCGGGTTTAGACCACATTGAGCTGACATTTCTTCTTTGGAGCGTATTACGGCACCCGTTGGCCGACTGGCGCCTCGTACAAGCTCTGAGCACCTCCCAGAAGTGTGGTCCATCGTATCCGTAGTTCAGGTTGCCAGAGGTCAGAGCTCTTAGTGAACGGTGAGACCGATCTCCGTGCAGTCCAATCCGTAGTGTCGGCAACTTGATCGGAGTCGAGAAAGGCCAGTGTAAGTGAGGTCCACATCGTCACTCTCCTGAAGCACCGTCCCGCTTACTGCGTTCGCGATTCGCGAGTAACGGCAGTCTGGGGCAGCGGGTATGTCGATCCCACAAAGAAAGTGGAATGTTTCAAGAGGTGCTCTATTGGGATCTGGAAACTTTTCCTTTGTTGCCCTATCCCTGATTCATTGATCGAGCCAACTGTGAAGCGGCTCTAAATGGATGGCTTTGTCCCAATTAGTCCCGAAAACGCCAGAGCGGGTAACTCGGGATCTCCTGTAGCGCTTTGATCCTTGTTCCTGTAAGCTAGACCTAGTCTAGGTCGACCGAGCATGATATGACCCCATTAGCTAGCCGTTAGACAGACGCTGCATCAATTAGCATCTTTCAGGTGAGCTGAGGTTCTATGAGGAGAATGGCCGACTGAGTGCAAAGGTGGGCATCATCAGATCAACCGCGAGGGAGGGTGGAGTCACTTGTGAGTCTCGCCCGTTCTACCTAAACGGTGCAGATACGATTATGCACACATCCACTTCTCGACTATGAGACTCCGTGTAACTCTGACCGGTCAAGGCGATAAACTACACTCAAAAGCCTAAAACGGCTTTTTGCAGCCGACTATCTCTGCGCGTTGCTGAGCTTCAGGGTCATGTGTTGGGCTTGCGGCCGCAACCTGAAGGCCCATGTTCGTTGTTTACCCGCGTGTAAGTGACAGCAAGTAAACATTGTTTGTGCAAAATCCGAGGTATTGGCATCCGTGCCAAGCATGTCAGCGTGCACGGCGAGCTGGCTGCCGATGGCGCCCAGCGAAGCCAAGAGTCGGGGTCTTCTTGTGGCTTTGATGCTCGACGGGCCGTCGTCGTCCCAGTGATGAACACGCGTCAGCGACCGTGCAACAGAAGCCCTCGGAAATCGGGATGACGACTCGGATTCAATGGTCTGTGAAAGCTGCCACAATGGCAGCTGATTTCTTTCATCGAGTAAGGTAGCTTGGCCAGCTGTGTTGATGTTGACCGAAGCTAGACCACATTCATCGTAGTTGCATGGCAAGCCACCACGCTATCTATATTTTTGGCAATTTTGGTCAGGTACCATTGCTAGTTTTTCTCCTTTTTCTGCGGTGCAGTGTAACAATGAACGTATGGTCCGACCAGGATTCACCAGATCTTTTGAGAATCAATTTACGCTACTGGTTCCTGCAGTAGCCCAGAGGCAAATGCACATTAACAAGTTCAAGGTTCGGTCTTCTGCATCATTCATGCTCGATGACCCCACAAGCCCCTTTGTTTTCACAGACCAAGTCCCTCTATTAGGTAACGCCAAACCTCAAATATGTTTTCCGATGGCAGCAGTGATGATGGACTTGACCTATCGGCTCACTAATCATCTGAGCAAGTCTCCTTCTGAGGATGGATGACTTCTCTCGATGCCTCCTCTCTAGGTAGGTCGGAGTTGACGATTGATGGTTCTCCTTAGCCTCGAGAACATCACAATTGGCTTCTGTCATTACGTCGCGCGAGGCTAGGACTTGGCAGCGTGTGCCATTGTCAGACTATTCTAGTTGTCAAGTTGAGTCGACTTGCAGACCCTGTTAGGCTTGGACATTTCGCGGAACTTACCACCACTGTCACGACTGCACGACACTCCCGGTGGGCTGGTTTTGACAGTGACAAATTTTGCCAAGCGTTCTGACTTTAGTTATTGATGGTCATGTCGGCCCGATGACCTAGCACCAAACCTTGTGCAAAGTTGCAAACTGAAAACAGGAAATCAATGGCAGTGGTGCAAATAGAAGCCGGACCCTTCATGAAGTCAAATGGGATTTCATATTTCCAGTGAACAGAAAGGCTCTTGTTTCGTCTCGTTGCAATTCGCTTGCTGCGATCACTCTTCCCCTCAACCCACCGAGAGATGAATAGTTCAGTACTACGGGAAATCCTCTCTTATGCCTTGAAGCATCTCTCTTCGATCTAGCTGAATTTTCAGTGGCATTTGCTGCTATCACTAGCTCGAGAGTGAAAGAAGTCGAGTGCAGAGTACGTTGGCATATCAGAATATACCTGAACCACCCAGCGAGCTTATCCGATTAGGTCTGCGTCAACTCCGAAGGCCCTGTAAAGCTGTCATAAGTTCCACAAAATGATTGCTTGAAAAAAGGTTAGAAGTTCAAGGGCTACAATGAATGCATTGTTGATGATCCTCAGATTTCAGACTGTGCTGAATGGTCTGCGAGTGCGGGCATAGGATGGGCGTCAGAGAGGACTTTGAATCTTACATTTATCAACAAATAGGTAGGTACATTGGTTGTAAATCTGAATGGCATAATTCTACCTCAGGGCTTATGCGACTGGGGTACTTCGCGTTGAGCCTGCTGCCTACTGCACAGCTACCCCGCATCTTGACCTTCTTTTTTCCAACTGCACGCCTTTGAATTCGACTGTGGATTGTACATACTGGATACTACCCTCGCTAAGTTTCTCTTACCACTGGAGCACAGAGTCTTTACCACCATGAGCGATCAAGATTCTAAAGAACCCCAATACAACGTATCAATATGTGCGGTGGAACCCAGTGACATCGATGACCTTGTCGCGATCCACACTGCCGCGTTCAGATCCGACCGGTTTTCGAATTTAATGCTTCTGGGTCGTGAAGAAGGCGCCCATCAAAACCTTATGCGCAAGTCGATCCTTCACTGGCTATCGAACCCCTCTACTACCAAGATCTTCAAAGCGTTCGAGGGGAATGGAAACATCCTCGGCTGGTCGTGTTGGGTTGCGAAGGAACTGGAACGCAAGAACCCGGAGGAGAACAAGTCCTCTGAGGCACCCTCTGATCCAAACCATCGCGAGGAGAAAGCACGCCCTGCCGATGATGCTCCTCAAGACCCTGCGCGAGTGTTGGGTGAGATCATGCATAAAGAGATGACTTCATGGGAATCTCGACACATGGGAGGGTCCGAGTACATGGTTCTGCAAGCCTTGGCGACGCATCCTGAGTCCCAAGGCCGGGGTATCGGGACCAGGTTGGTTCAGCATGGACTTGAGGAAATAAAGTCGCAGAGTCTTGCATGTTGGATCCATGCATCCCCCTCAAGTTACAGGCTTTACGAAAAGGCTGGGTTTCAAGAGGTTGGGAAGAGTGACTATGATCTTGCCGAGTGGGCACCGGTAGGGACAGGCGGTGAACTTGGCTGGGGGACATATACGTTTCGGTATATGCTTCGCTCTCCAAAAGTGTAATTCTGCCGAACGCATTCTCATGACAATGGAAGTATGTTCGTAAACTGAATGTATCAGGTTGTGTGTGGTATTGGACCAAAAAAATGAAATCCCAGCTGTGGCAGAAAAGAACAAAAACCACAACTCTAGTGATGGTGCTCCAAAGACGTGAAGGTGAACTAAACCAGTCCTCTTCTGTTGTTTATGGTCGAGTCCCAAGGACTAAGATAACTCAGTTATACTGCATTAAGCCATTCTGCTTTTTCAGTGCGTGCTAGTAATTCCACACGAAATGCTACTTATCCCATTAACTGTGGAATGGCGTATGTTTAACAATCTCCATATGTTCTCTAACTTCCTTGCATTGTTTTTAAGTAAGGATATGGCAGGAGTAGGCTCGTATAAACGTTTCCTTTGTCCCTACTCTGAATATATACAAGTATCATTTTAGTGACGCTATTCTACGGTAGATGAGATAGGGCTCAGCCGTTGAGACGTGTAAAACTGCCCGTCCCTTATCAATCTTGAATCCACTGATCTACCATACGAAAACTATCTTGATAAGTGTTTTGTGAAGTTAAATTCTCGAGAGCTTGGTTCCGCTAAAAGTCGAAACTGAACTTAACGTTAAGTAAATCCATGGAACTTGAACAGCTCGTCAAAAAAGCTCATGCCAGAATGTTCGATAGACACCAAAATTCTTGTACTAAGTCACACCAGAACTCGGCTACACCCATGTAGATATTTAACTTCCTCGCTACCTCCTCATCCTAACATCCAATGCTCCGCCAGGTACAATGTTGTGGAACCTCTGGCCTGTTCAAAGTACCGCCTTCATCCTTGCTAGATATCGTAGTAGAGAGTATATCCTTCTAACGCGTGTACTAATATCACAATAGTCGCTAGCGCTTACACCTGGCTGCCTAAAGCAACGCACTTAGCCACCTGTTATTTACTTGACGAGACCCGCGTCATTGATGTGACCAGAACGGGATCTTCAACTTCATACGGCACTTTCGCTCATTTCTTTTCTCCGGAATTTCATGATGGGGGACATGCTGGCTTGGTACATTGTCATTTTCTTAGGATCGGCTATTTTGACAGCTGGCTCCATATACAACTCCGAATTCATCACCAACCCGACCACATCGTTCCTCGTTCACCTCACCACCAGCATCGTCCTCTACTTCACCTCCCTCACCGGCCTTGCTCTCACCGCAATCGAAGACTGGAGACTCCAAGCCCGCATCGGACGGAAGAAAGGCCGCGGCCTCGAGCCCTTTCGATTCTTCCCCAAAGAGCATGCAGTCTTCGTGACGCGGGCGACGGGCCTGGCGGCGGGCGCCTACGTCATGGCGCTCCCGCTGCTCATGCCGACAGACGACGTGATTGCCCAGGTCTGCCTGCGCATACCGACATTTTTCTACGCGTGCAAGTGCTGGGACTTGACAGGCGCGCGAGTGAGAAAGCCTCCTGTCCCACGGGATGGGAAAGAGGAAGTGGTCTACGGGCTGACGAGCTGGAGACCTGTTGCTTCGTATGTCTGGCGGCTTGGGTCGGAGACTAGGTATGCGTCTTTCAACATCGCTGTGGACGAGTCGAAGCGAAAGAACATCCCAAAAAGCGCGTTCTGGACTTACGTTCCGCTGCTTGTCGTCCCTCTGACATATCTCTTTCCGATCACGGAGCTCAAGATCATGTGTGGCCTGCTTGCTATCCAACATGGACTAGAGGGCATTCACTTCATATTCCATCCCCACTGCCCCAACAAGCTCTTCTTCCAGCCGTGGGCAGCAGACAGTTTCTCCAGCTTCTGGGCCATTCATTGGCACCACGGGGCACAGCCATTCCTTCAACACCTAGGGTACGTTCCCGCCAGAGCCCTCTTCACACGTCTATTTGGGAAAAATACTGGCAAGGCCGCCGGTGTACTCGCGGCTTTTAGTCTCAGCGGAGTTTGGCATGCCTGGTGTGGGGTCGTCTTGACACTGGACGAGTATGCGTGGGTACAGGCTGTGGGCCTGTGGACTGTGTTCATGGTGCAAGGCTTTGGTTGCCTGTTCGAGCGCTGGCTTCTCCAGAATGAGAGCTGGAGGACAGGACGTAGGAGACAGATGTTGACGGCCCTGTGTTGGATGGCTTCGGTGGAGTCGGCGGCGTTTTGGTTGAGGTACGGAGAGGCACGGGCGAAGAGACCTCAGGGCTGGACTACGTTCTGAGATATGGGGTCAAGGGTCAGGGGCGATAAACCGATAGAGAGCATCCATAGAGGCGGGTAAGCGTATGAACTCTTGTCAAGAGCAGCATGATTCAGTAGCTTTACCCCAAGGGATCGAGAGGTCTGGCCCGAAGACTATGATAGAACCTAGACCATTGAAGGAAATCTTCTATGACTTCAATGTCTGCTAAGCGACACTAGAACCTGTCCCCTGTGCGGTACGTGTTCCTGGTGACTGGTTATTCAATAGTATTCTGATGCGACCTGCATCCTGTACCCACTGCGGATGGCAATGCTACAGACTTGAGATGGAGCGCTTGTCCAAGCCAATCTTTTCGACCCTTCCCGGGTCCCTGGTTCAATAAAATGTCGAAAGGGTGGTCTCGCCAACGCTTTGCTGGATCTCAGCTGTCGAACTCTTCTCAATGCATCCATGATTGGCTCGGCTCCTGCCAAGAACATTCGGACGGGAGATCAGCGCAGGCATGGCTCAGCGCGTGGCATCACTGGCCTCGTCCCATGATACTCCGTCGTGCTTCTCTTGCCGATCTCACGCTTGAATCCAAACGTTTGCATTGCTTTCTGTGATTGCCAATTTGTCACTAGGCAGCAAGAATTCTGAATGATGCTGCTCAATGGTGAGACATGAGGACAGCAGCGGCTACGTAGTCTAGTACCTAATCAAAGTTGCGATGTGAGGTTATTGGATAGCTTAATGGACGCGGGGTAAAGAGCCCCTCGGCATTCGCGCCATGGCGCCGGGACGTGAGCATGGGGATCAGTCTAAATGATCCTTCTCCACTACTAGAAACCGTCCGTCAATCCTACTGAGAAAGCCGTTGACGCAAGGGAGGTCAATAGCTTCATGATTTGCCACCCCAAGTCGCAAAAAGCTGATCATTCGTTGGCTCGCTTGGAACCGTTGCGCTTCTCCAGGAAGCGCTTATTAACAAGCCTCCTTGGTGCGTCAAGGACACGCTGGAAACACCGAGGGGTTCCTTGGTTCGTGAAATAAACGCTCCAACTTTCAGATGCTTCAAGGTTAGACACGTCAGGTAGCGTGAGCTAAACATACAAGGGAGGGAGCTCACGTGAACCTAACCCCGGCCCAGAATACGGGCCGACGGCGGGGTAAAATGGTTCGTCTTGTCTTTTTCCACCCCTGTCTCCGAGTCTGGGGTCGCATCTGGGGTTCTGGGGTTTGTCCGCGCGGCCTTTCTTCTTTCCCCAAAGCCAAGGCTTTACGAGTTTCTGGGGCACATTGACCTACTCACTTGGCATCAACTTGGCATCAACTTGGCAACATGATGGGGAAACCAGGGCCATGGATGACATCTGGACCTTCAAAACGACTACCGCAAAGATGAATGGCAGTTGAAGGCTTGGTACCTGATGCCGAGGCGCGTGTGGAGGACGCGGAGCGGGACGCAACAGCCAAGCAAAAGCCAAGATCAGAGGCTAAAGCAGGTCGGGCGTTCCGGGGAGGTTATCGATGTCCCGCAACTAAGGTGACTGGGCAAATGCTTACCTTTACTAGCTCCGATTATACCACGATTCCATCAAGCCCCCTCCCCTGACGTACTGCGTATACTGCGCAGGACGTGGGAGAAGAGATGTCGCTCTGACCTTTACCGGACAGCCGCACCATATGCCTCTCCATCGGTCCATCGCTTCATTTCCAGACTTACCACTCTCCAGTGCCGGTCATCCGCACTCTTCCCCCGCACTCTAGAACCAATCTGGCCACCCTCCCCGCTGCCCGCCAGCACCAGAGTCTTCATCGGAGAAACGACCCAGACGCATGCCATCGAATCCCACTACGACTCGAAGCGCACGTATAACACCAGTTCGGAAGGTCGTAATAGCGCGGCATTTGACATGCGCTCTCTGCTCATTGGAGGGAATTCTTAGCGCTTGGGGTTCTCGTGCGACCCTTCATCCAGTATCACAGACATTGTCAACGAAATGAGATGAAGATGGATCACAAGGAACGTGCCATCGTGAAGCACCTCACGGTGTTTAAAAGACACACGATGGCCCCCGACTTGTCGGATCATGAGAATTGTCTCCCCAGGATCTCACAGGCATTCACCTCGTCAGTGACAACTCCCCTCTCGTTCTCCGTCAGCAAATTCAAGGTCGTCCCTCCTCCTTCGCCATGTTGTCCAAGCCAGTTCGCGAGCGCGGCTACGCCCTCGGCCTCGCCCTTGTGGCCACAGGCTCCCTCGTCTCCGCCGGTCCCTGCGACATCTACGCCTCTGGCGGCAACCCCTGCATCGCCGCCCACAGCACCACTCGCGCCCTCTACAGCGCCTACACCGGCTCCCTCTACCAGGTGAAGCGCGGCTCCGATGGTGCCACAACCAACATCGCGCCCCTTTCCGCCGGCGGCGTCGCCAATGCGGCCGCTCAGGACACCTTCTGCTCCGGAACGACCTGCCTCATCTCCGTCATCTACGACCAGTCCGGCAAGGGCAACCACCTAACCCAAGCCCCCGGTGGCGCCTTCAGCGGCCCCGATGTCAACGGCAACGACAACCTCGCCAGCGCCATTGGCGCCCCCGTCACCCTCAATGGCCAAAAGGCCTACGGCGTCTTCGTCTCCCCCGGCACGGGCTACCGTAACAACGCCGCCGTCGGCACCGCCATCGGAGATGTGGCTGAGGGCATGTACGCCGTCCTCGACGGCACCCACTACAACGGCGGCTGCTGCTTCGACTACGGCAACGCCGAGACTAGCAGCACCGACACGGGCAACGGCCACATGGAGGCCATCTACTTTGGCGACAACACCGGCTGGGGCTCGGGTGCCGGCAGCGGACCCTGGTTGATGGCCGATCTCGAGAACGGCCTCTTCTCCGGCGTCAGCCCCGCCAACAACCCGGGTGACCCGACCATCACGAATCGCTTCTTCACCGCCGTCGTGAAGGGAGGTCCCAACCTCTGGGCTCTCCGCGGCGCCAACGCCGCCTCAGGAGGCTTGACCACGTACTACAGCGGCGTGCGGCCCAACGCGTCGGGATACAACCCCATGAGCAAGGAGGGCGCCATCATCCTCGGCATCGGCGGTGACAACAGCGTTAGCGGGCAGGGCACCTTCTACGAGGGTGTCATGACCTCCGGATACCCCTCCGACGCGACGGAGAACTCTGTCCAGGCCAACATTGTCGCGGCCAAGTACGCCACCACTTCCCTGAACAGCGGCACCGCCCTCACCGTCGGCAACTCCATCTCCCTGCGCGCCACGACCTCCGGCTACACAGACCGCTACCTCGCACACACCGGCTCGACCGTCAACACCCAGGTTGTTACCTCGTCCAGCACCACGGCTCTCAAGCAGCAGGCCAGCTGGACCGTCCGCACCGGTCTCGGCAACAGCGGGTGCTACTCGTTCGAGTCCAAGGACACGCCCGGCAGCTTCATCCGCCACTACAACTTTGAGCTGGCCGTCAACGCCAACGACGGCAGCAAGCAGTTCAAGGAGGATGCTACCTTTTGCACGCAGTCTGGTATCAGCGGCACCGGCAGCTCGTTCCGCGCGTGGAGCTACCCTACCACCTACTTCCGCCACTACAACAACCTGGGATATGCTGCGAGGAACGGTGGTGTTCACACTTTTGACTCTGCTACTTCCTTCAACGCGGATGTGAGCTGGGTTATCGCTACTGGCTTTGCTTAAGTTGAGGATGGTAATGGGGCGAGAGAGAGGATGGGATTGTTCTGACAGGCGGGCAAGGGGTCAGTCGGGCATACCACTTGTTGGGACGAGCCTGTGAGATGTCTTGGGAATAGTTCCTGCTAGTCTTTGATGCATTCAAATCGACCCTTGGGCTTCATTGGTATCGTACACTTATTTAAATCGATGTCGCAGCGGCCAGGCACCGTGTGATCTTACATAAGTGTTAGAAGGATTGAACTCTAGACTCCCAATGTCGCAGCGGCCAGGCACCGTGTGATCTTACATAAGTGTTAGAAGGATTGAACTCTAGACTCCCAAACAGACTTCGAGTTCACACCACTTGCCTCAAAAACCCCTCAGTGGTGCTGCTGGCTTTAAGCTTCAAGTCAGATGATGGCGTTGGGTTTACGATGACCAACCCAGGCCATCAACTTGATGAAATCCACTCATTTGTGCATATCTTTGCCCCCGGGCACGCTCAGACCAGCGACTTAGAGAGCTTGACGTGGCGGTGTTATATGTTGGTGAAGCATGCGAAGTCTCAGACCCTAGATTCTATGATCTAAGAGCATTCACAATTCAGAAAAGCTCACAGACTCTGCTGTACATGCCAATGGGGTGGCCATCATGCCTCGCGGGAGGGCATACAGCCTCGTTGTTAGGCTTCTGTAGCTCTTTTCTGCACCCATCTTATGGCTTAAAATTGCAGTGAAGGAAGTCCGATTCGTTGATGTTCCCAACCCGAACCCTTGCGGAGTTGACGGGTCCGCACATCACTGCATCAGTGGTGAAACATGAAAAGAAAGGTTAGATCATAGTTGGCATAATGGAATGTAATTACATAGTGAGTTTACTTTGCAATCTCTCGACCTGTACCGGTGTTCCACTCATACAAGGGCCGAAGCGCGTCACATACTTACATGAACTTGCTTTTTTCTCTTGCAGAAAGGCTGTAGGATAACAATTTTCAGTATCCGAATTGGTGTTTTCTGAGTATTATGCGATGTGCTATCGTCATGTATAGGCGTCTAGCATGTATAGGCAGGATGGGGCAATGCACAAGATCGCAAAGCCACAAATGGGTTCAGCAGTATCGACATCTTAGACGCCGACAACTGCCCCACATGTCCCCGGCCGGGTCTTGCAATCTCGGAGCCGACGAATCCTCACCTTAAGGTAGCGCGTGCGTGGGTAGGTAGACACTCTCTGAACGAGACGGGATACTGTAGCAGGAACTGCGACGGTGAGCCCTTTGCCTAGATAAATGAGTATTTTTTCGCTTTCAAATTAGACAATGATATCATGGCTTCGCACCTCTGCCGCAGTGGACAAAGTCTGGATTCTCAGAAAGTGTAGATGATGGGCGTGAAGAAGCTTCAATACCGAGGGATCCGAGTCAGGAATCAAATGCCAATTCAGCCCGACTCTCCGATGGCATGAACCTTGTTGATTCGACCGAGGCCGACTACAGTCAGGCTTCTCTCTTGGCTCTAGAAGAAATTTCATGGAATCGAAACTTTTTCAGGGGGGGTGACGAACAACCTAAAAGGCTGAGCCGAGGTCCAGCAGCTTCGCCCAGACTTTCCATGACAGTGCAGCACGCATCCCACGCTGTGACGCCAGGGCAAACAGGCACCCTGCTACCCAAGCACTAACAAAAAAGCACCGAACCCCGTTTAGGGAGTGGGGGTCCTCCGTCACTTATCGCTGCCAATCGACGATAATTTGCCCTCGCGCTCCGACCCCAACAACACCAACAAACGATCCCAACCAAAGCGACCGGGGGTGTGGGTGCGAGGCCCGCAAAACGAGCTCCGTGGACCCGGTAGACAAGCGCGCAATCCATATCCGTACGGAGTACTTTACATTTCCTTTCGAAATTTAAATCCCATCACCAACCCATGGCGACCTCCCTCCTCGCCCAATGCTCAACCACCCTCTGGTGCCACCTCCGTTCCCTCCCCCTCTGGGCCTTCGTCCTCGTCGTCCTCCTCCTCGGCGCACTCCGCCAGCGCATAGTCCCATCTTCACCGTCTTCTTCTCCGACCAGACGGCGACGGGCAGCACCGGTCGTCGCGGATAAGAAGACGTCCGCCTCCTGAAGGGCCTCTCTTACCCAGGAGAAACACCACCAGCAAAACAGACACACAATATGGCGTCCGCAATCGCAAAGGCCTCGCGCACCGAGGCCGACTTCGATCGCGTCCCCGTCCGCGTCGTCCGCCTCATCCGCCTCGCCGGCGCCAGCGGCCTGGCGTACGCCGCCTACAAGATCCACTGGCGCATCGTACTCGCCAGCTTCTTCACCGGCCCGGGCAAATTCAGCCGCATCCTCATGCTCATCTTTGCCCTGCTGAACCTCAAGAACATGCCCTTTGTCTGGACCGTACGTTAACCCTCCTCTCTCTCTCACGTCTACAGACAGAAGACAAGAACAGCCAAAAAAGACTGACACATCCACAAACAGTACCGAGTATGGCACGCAATAATCTACCACCTCTTCATCCGCAAATCCCCCCGCCTCGGCCCGCGCTCCCTCTTCCGCCCCATGATCTCCCAGTCCCACGCCCCCATCACCGAGATAGACTACAACATCCACAAGTCCAACTCGACCTACTTCTCCGACCTCGACGTCTCCCGCACCCACCTCTGCACCTACCTCCTCCGCCCCGGGTTCCGCCAACTCACCCACAACGCGACAACAAAACTCGTCCTCGACCCCAAGACCTCGAAACCAGCCCGCGGCCCGCTCGGCATCATGCTCGGCGCCGTACACTGCTCCTTCCGCCGCGAGATCACGGCCTACGCCCCCTACGAGATGTGGTCCCGCATCCTCTCGTGGGACCGCAAGTGGCTGTACATCGTCACGCACTTTGTCCCCAAGGGCACGGCGCGTCCTACCGAGTGGCTTGATCCCAAGTTCGGCACCGCGCGGGTCCGGAGGAACACCGGCGGCGACGCGAGCAGCAACAGCGCGGACTGGGAGAAGAAGATTTACGCCACGGGCGTGAGCAAGTACGTCTTCAAGATTGGGCGGTTGACGGTGCATCCGGCCGTCGCGCTTGAGGCGAGCGAGCTGCTGCCGCACAGGCCGACCGAGGGCGGATGGCAGGGCGGCGAGAACGGTGTCGGGGACGAGAGTGTTGATTTGAGTGATGTCGCGGACGACGGCGCGTGGGATTGGCAGATGGTTGAGAAGAGGCGGCGCGAGGGGATGAGGTATGCTGCGCAGTTTGCTGCCATGGATGATCTGCATGGCTGGCTGGACGGCGCGGATGGCGGTGACGGAAGTGCCTTGGGCAAATTCGGACTTGGATAAGACGAGAGGAGATGGCGGGATTCGTGATACCCAATAGACTTGGACGGTATTGACATTGGATGAAGATAAAGAGGGAGGCAAAGACGCGATTGTAGATGATTCAATCTGGGATATAAATGTTTTTTTAGGTTTACATTGCCACTAATCAGCTGATAGAACTAGATATGCATGCGCGTACAACTACAACAAGACTTCCATGGTCAGGTGTGCTGGCTATTTCTCTTTTTCCCGCTAAACTCCGCAGTCCGCAATCTTTCCTCTTGCATTGGATACATCAATTACAAGGGATGAAGTGAAAAATGTTGTTCAAATCAAAGCCACAACTGGTAGGTGAGAAAGGTGAATTTAGAGAGCGAACGCAGCGGCCGCGGCGATGGCTCCAGCCCAGCCAGCGACCTGGGCTCGGCCGGCGGCGGCTGGTGATGTTGTAGTGGTGACCGCAGCCCCTGTTGCGGTGCCGCTGCGGGAAGAAGTGGTTGTGCCGGAAGCCGTAGTCGCGGCAGCGGTGACGGAGCCAGCCGAGGCGGTGCCGGAAGATGTGCCTCCTGCGGCGACCTGGGCGCAGATCTGAGAGGCGAGCTGGAGTACCGCTGGAAGTGTGTTAGCTCTATTGTTCAAAGCTTGAACGTCTTTCTCATGCTTTGTGAGAACACATACTGGCCTGATCTGTCGAGCTGCAGCCGGAGGAAGCAAGGCAGGGCACGACCTTGGCTGTGAGCTGCTCGACCTTTCCGCAAGAGCAGGCAAAGTCTGTGATATCGCAGTTGACAGACTGGGCACCATCACGGATGCAAGTGACCGCGCAAGTGGGAATCTCGGCAACAAGCTGATCGATGGTGTCGGCAGCCACGAGGGCGGCGAGGATAGATACGACAATGGTGTACTTCATCTTGGCGGTTTGCTGTGATCCTTGGAGGCCGAGGTTGGGTCGAAGTAAGTTTGGGGTGTCGAGGTGTGGTGAAGTGGCTGATAAGGCGGGTAGGAGCAAAGGCAAAGTAGAATAAAGTAGCAGACCGGTTGTGAGAGAGGACGAAGTGGTCTTTTAAAGAGCATTGAATGAGACGCCAAGACTGTGGCATCAACAGCAACCGGTCGCCGGAATGGCACAAGCTCATAGAGGTAAACCGCCGAGAGCTCCAAACGTAGCCAAGACGCGGTCTACGTCGGCGCGCCGTAGCTGTCTCGCACCCCGGATCAGGCAAGACGACGGATGGGGATCATGGCACAGTGATGGGAATTATTGGTGAGGCATTCAACCGAGCGAGCCAAAACCCCTCAGGCAGCTGCTCACTCGAGCCTTGTCATCCGTTCTGTGGCAGAACGTCTACTGTCAGTCTAGAGATGATCGGCCGCCACACCTCACTTGGCGTGAAGCCGCTGGAGCTCTCATCAAATGCACCGCTCGGACTGGCTCGTTTTGCAGTGCTGTCTAGTAGTCGTGGCGCAGGTGCTAGTCTTCCCTCTGACCGTGAACAAAGGCGGCTAGAGGGGATTCTGGGTCAGTCGATAGCATCTATCCTCCATCCTCCGGTTCCGAGCTGTGGTCGATCTTCCGCAAACGTCTGCGCGCGGAAACCGAAGCGCAGGCAAGGGCCCTGGAGGCTGGACGAGCCGACCAGCTTGAGGTTTGAGATTCTCTCTTGTGAAAACGCTGAAGTCTAGACTTTTTCCGAGTAACTGTTCATCTCTCCTGACGAATGCGCCCTCAAGGTCTCAGATACATGACGTTGACGACCAGTTACCTGGGTCTTCGCTCTGAGGAATGCAGGCTCAGGGGAAGTTGGTTAAGCTCATCCGGCATCAACTAAGCTTCCCGCAGGCCCCTGTCACCTGCAGGTCGGAAAGAGGAAGATCAGACGCTTGTCCAATCGAAGTGCTCCATTTATGTGTGCAGGGAATGCACTGAGAACACCTGCATTAGCCGTCCGACGCTTCTCGCATGGTGTGTGGCCTGTGTTCCCGTGCCCTCCCGTGCCTCGAACAGAATATCGGACGAGTGATTGCCAGTCTCTGCGAATTATCTCGTCCAGTCGCACTTTTCAGCTATCGGGGCAGCGGCCCTTGGTGGAGAGAAATGCAATCGACCACAAACGTAAGATTGGGGGATCATGAGTCAAGCATGATCAGACGTGAAGAACAACCGGCGTGGTGATCCCGAAGGTGTAGCTATCAACCGGATGACCGAGGCCGTGCGTTCCGGGTCTATTGGCCATGCGAAATTGGTTTCTTGATCCTTTTCGTTAGCCTCGCAGACTCTGGTTGCACACTCTTATCCACCAATCGACCAACATGGAACGTCTAACTCTAGCAGACATTCGCGCATTGTGAGCCGCTAGCTTCATTGTGTTTGCCTAAGCGGTGTCTGCCTTGAGCAGTTCCTTCTTCTAATAGAATGCCATTCGACCTTCAGCTGGAAAAAGCCTTCATCCTGGTGGCGAGTGGGAGGCGCCACGAGGATTCTCTCACGTTGCCGTGCGCTTGTAGGAAACACATTACTCGGAGATATGATGCCAGACGGGCAAGCAATTGGTTGTTCCGGGCCTCGAGTCTCCTCATGTTCAGGAGGATTGGCATGTGTCAAACCGTAGCGACAGTCTCAAGCTGATCGTTGCTCCATACACTCCCGTTCCCGTTACTAACTTGCCCTAATCCGAGTAGCAGTTTGAAATCTTTCGTGAGCTTGGCAGGCGCCCGACCCGGTGGGTTGCTCAGCGATTGTAGAGCATAGGAATGCAAACGGAGTGCCGGGCAGAAGATTGGCGGCGAGATCAGGTATCGAATCCGAAGCCGTTAGCACGTGGCATGTTGATTCGTTCCTCGCAAATCGCCCTCACAGCGGCCGTGGAGGTTCACCTCTATCATCGACGTCCACTTGAGGTGGTCACCGTTCTCAAAGTCGATTGCAGCCACGCATGCTGGACGATAATTCGAAGTCAATGACTGAGACGGGTGCACGGCCGAAGCGGGCGCCCGCCTTGTTGCTCGACCGTAGACTGGAGATTTTGGCTCTCGAATTGGAGCCATCCCAACTTTGTTTCCTCGGCACAGCTATCGAGGCACAGAGCCACTTCGATTTGTGAAATGGGAAAACCTTCCCCAGTGGTGCCACGATTCTTGCCCAGCTTCGCGTGGGTAACATCGGATTGTCTCGTACTGGGGCTCAGAAAGCATAAAGTTGGTTGACGGCGAGCTGCCAGGCTCTTTCAGTCTTACTTGCAGACAAGTGCAAAGTTAAGTTGGCTAGAGACGAATCGCAAAGCATGCGAAATCTGGTAGCGAGCGATGTATATGTAAGTCGGGATGGGCAAGGTGGTTGATGATAAGACGGAATCGCTGGCTCCGCGAAGAAGTCGGTGACGAAATGGCGGACCCACCTACAGTACCTGCCGTGCGAGATCTGATTACTCAGACACGGTAGGTACGCCAGTGCCCCTCCATCCCAGATTGGCGGCCGCGGGGCAGTCGGACCTGAACAAAGTCCACCTTGGCTAAAGGCGCGACAACTTCCACTCTCCTTCACATCACACTCCCCCCAGACAACTACGGAGAAATCATGACGGAACAACCGGTATCAGTCCTCTTTGTCTGCCTCGGCAACATTTGCCGCTCAACAATGGCAGAAGGCGTGTTTCGCAACTTTGCGCAAAAGCCTCAGTACAAGGGCCTCATCTCAAAGGTGGATTCCTGCGGCACAGGTACGAAATATGGCGGATACGTCATGATGAACCCAATTCCTCTACCAATTCTTGTGCGCAAAGCAAAGCTGACGCGGTCTTTTGCGCAACAATAGCGGCCTACCATGTCGGCGATCCTCCCGATGACAGAACCATGGCGACGCTCGAAGACCACGGCATAACGGATTACTACCACGCTGGTCGCAAGGTACGATGGTGCTCCCTCTCTCACAGGGTGCGCCCGGGCGGATCTGAAGAGAGAACAGACTTGCTGACCGTCACGCTTCCACAATGTGCAGGTGTCGCCCTCAGACTTTAACAAGTTCGACTACGTCTTCGCCATGGACCGATCCAACCTACGAGACCTTCAAAACCTACAACAACGAGGCCACACCGATTCAAAGGCCAAGGTGATGCTCTTTGGCGAGTTTTCAGGAGGACCGAGGTCGGAGGTGGTGAACGATCCATACTATGGTGGCGATGAGGGTTTTGCGAAGGCCTATGAGCAGTGCACACGGTTTTCGACCAACTTTTTGAAGCACGTCTTCCCGATGTCGACCCCAAAGCATAGAAGGACCGTGGATTGCGATCAAGGTGGAGAGAAGATTGAAGATTGAGCCAAAAGGCGAGGGCAAACGGTCGGCGACGCGCCGCGAAACACGACTTGGGGGCGGCGGTACGCGTTGCAGCAGGAATCCGACTGGCTGCGGCCAAATAAGGACTTGTCGTTGACGATCATCGCGATCATGGTAAGGCGTCAGAACAGGGCGAGAGGTGGGTAGGCCATTGAGAACAGCTGCGCGCTGCCGAAGTGATTATGCTGCATTATTAGAGAAAGAAAGGTAGAGACAGGAGGAGCATTTAAGCGTGTCTTTGGTTTGATTGATTCCACAGCTACAAGATGCACATAGAAGATTAGATTCCATGCAGTTGCCAGCCAATGCAGGTGCAAAGTGCAGGACAACGGCAAGACGGCCAGATGAGGATGGAGCCGTAGACGCCGTTGAAGACAACTCGAGAGGTCGAGGTGCCTAAGCGAAATGGATTCGGGATGTCGGCTACGCGCAAGCTAGCGTCTTTGGCGGCGGCAGCAGCTACTTGGGCCTTGGCAATCACATACCAAGATTGAAAAGCACTAGGCGGGCCGAGGAAAAGATTTTGGCGTCCGTACTCCGTATTACCTGGACAGATTCGTGGATGAGCTCAGAGGCTCTTCAGCCCTACCAGTCCAGTAGACACGTACAGGAGATGCCGCCGTACCTAGGTATGCTATGGTAGTGTGCTGCCCGATAATGGGAAGAGCAGCTTACCCTACACCGTCGAGGATGACTGCACAAATGACGGCGGACGAACTGCTTACGGCAGATCCCTCGAGGGGCTGTGGTGTTGGATGAGGTGCGATATTTCGGGATCCTGCGCATTAGAAGTAGTGATGCTGACGCATCTAAGCTTACATGATAATGCAGTGGTGCATTCTGACCATGGAAGAGAGGGCTAGCCTAAAGCACACATCTTCAGCAACCTACCTTGGGTGCAGTTGCTTGGTTTGTCTCGTTCAGACTGGTTGTGGATGAGGCGCGGCTGAATCGGCCTTCAGTTCAAAGTTTTGACGGTGCTCACATCTGGGCCAAATGCGGGCCAGGATGAAGGTCTGACAGTCAAAAAGTGTCTCACTTCAAAGGTCCACAGTCCTGGAAGTTCTTCTTCAGCCGGCGCTGAGCCGCCACTGCATTCCAAAGCCCAAATTTTGTTCTTCTTGGGTTGGGATGCAGCATCCAGGCATCAAGCAGAGAAATTGCAGTATTCGTATCCCAAACTCTCTTCCCCAGTGCAGAATCTTGATTGTTGTGTCAGAGCCGGTCATTGGTGCAGGTACTCATGCTGCATATATCTGCGTAGACGAGGTTGTTTCTGCTCGCGTAAAAAGCCGCCAGGCCAGCCTTGGACCCATATTCAATTCTCAACCGGGGATTTGAGTGAGGGTGGTCTGTACGATCCATGGTGATGATTTGTCGCGCGGTTGCGAAAGGCTGCATTGCCAAAAGTCCAGTCACGATGCTCAGCGGTTACTGGCCCGAGGTAAATGGAGCCTTTCATCTGAGGATGGAGCCAATGGGGGCTCGCAGAATGACCCAGGCAGCAAATCAAGTGCGGGCCTGGGGATCGTGGTGTGGATCCCTACGTCTCTTCACGCCAAGTCGCTTCCGGCCTAACGTCAGCAGCAGCTTGTACCTTGTACCTTGCCTTGCAGTTTTCCCATGTTCCCACGCAGGAAGCTCAGAATCTTGAGCTCTTGATGTACCTTATCCATTTGCTTGACTTTGGTTAGACTGGATTCAAGACAGCCGACTAACTACGGATACTTTACTCAAGTAAGGTAGCTAGGCACCAGGTACTACCGTAGCACCAGTACATTGAGTGCTGCGACGTGGTCGGGGCTACCTCGTAAGGCAGAGACACAAGAGCACGGGATTGGGGGGGAGCTTCAGCCCACCACGCAGCACCTTACTCCGTACCTTTCCTTACTGCGTAAGGTAGGTACCCCTCACCCCTCTCTTCCACTCATTCTCCTGCTAGAATCCTATCATCAACCTGAACAAGGTACCATGAAGAAGTACGGATACATCCACACACTTATCATCCAAGGTACTAGGTATTCGCAGTCTACCAATACTTCACCGCACTCAGCCTTGGGCCAAGTCTCATCATCTCCAGGTGTCGAGACTCAAGCATCCAGTGTCCAGTCACAACCCTCAAGTCAAGCCAGCCCACAGATCCCACTTGTCTTCAATGAAATGGAGTGTGCCAATGCAGCTGCTTGCTTGCATTGCCCCCCCATTCCATCTGCCTTTTCCCTTGTTGCTTTCTGTCCCTGTTCAAGGGCCCAGAAGGTCAGGTCCATTTAAGTCCACTATCCAAATGTCAGGTCCATGGCAGTCCCTCCCAAATGGAACCCTTCCCCTCGGCTCGTGCCTTTGACCATTTTATCGCCTTTTCTTGCCTCAAACTGTGAATGCTCCATCCCATAACGCGCTGTCTCCCGGTCTGGCCATCCCATTTGATCCTGTCCAGTCCCATCATCCCCCCTCCCCAATTCCCCTCAAGGCTATTTCCCCGTCGTCCTATCCTACCTAAGACGTAAGGTGAAAGGTACACTCTGTGGTGTGGTACCTCTACTTTATCTCTTGCTCCTGCCCATTACCTGACCTGGCCTTACTTTCCTTACCTACCTTAGGTACCTGAGGAATCGCACAATATCTTTGGACCTTCCTCCCTCTGCTCACTTCCTCTCCTCTCGTCTTTCTTCCTTTCACATCTCATCTCAACTCACCCCTCCACTGCGGGACAAAGACGAGAATTGTTCCGGCGACACCGCATTGTCATCCAGCATATTTCACCGAGGAAAGATTCCGAAGAAAACACCTGACGCTGCTCTGCCTGCCTTTATAATACAGCCTGCTATCCCCTCACCCACTCGTCGAGCGTTGTCACTGCTACTGCTGTTGTCACTGCTTGGACAAGCCGTTCTTTTTCGGTTGATCCCGCTACCCTGTCTGTTCCGCAACTGTCGCATCGCATCGCATTCCTTGCTTGCTTCCCCACCTTTGCCTCGATTGACTCGCCAAAGATACCCCTCGATTTCTCGACAAGCCCGACACGCCAATCCTCCAAGCTCGAAAAAACAACAGCTCCAACCCCAACACCAACTCGAAAACCTCCACCAAACGAGCAGCACACAAACCTCGCAAACATGGCTGATTTGCAAGGACGCAAGGTCTTCAAGGTCTTCAACCAGGACTTCATCGTCGACGAGCGATACACCGTAACCAAGGAGCTCGGCCAGGGAGCTTACGGCATTGTCTGGTGCGTGCGACCTTTTAACCTGCTCTTCCCCTCATCCCATCGGCTGTCGCTGTCTGCGCTGCTGCTGCTGGTGCTGATGCTGATGCTGATGCTGCTGCTGCTGCCACCGCTGCCCCGCCATTTGGCCAAGAAGCTGACGAATACTCCCCTCACACAGCGCCGCCGTGAACAACCAGACCCAGGAGGGCGTCGCCATCAAGAAGGTCACAAATGTGTTTAGCAAGAAGATCCTGGCAAAGCGCGCCTTGCGCGAAATCAAGCTGCTCCAGCACTTCAGGGGACACCGCAACGTGAGTCCTCCCCTCTGCCCGCTCTGGAAGCTGTCCCAAGAACCCCGCGCAGCCTCATCGCCACGCGGCTGCACCACCACCCACGCCAGACAACGATGCTGACTTGCCTGCTTTGACAGATTACCTGCCTCTACGATATGGACATTCCCCGACCCGATAACTTCAACGAGACATATCTCTACGAGGGTACGCTTTCTATCGCGTGCATCCGCCGCCCTGGTCGAATCAGCTGTGCTAACTCTTTTGTTCTGCTACAGAGCTCATGGAATGCGATTTGGCAGCCATCATCCGATCCGGCCAACCGCTGACCGACGCCCATTTCCAGTCCTTCATCTACCAGATCCTCTGTGGTCTCAAGTACATCCACTCCGCCAACGTCCTGCACCGTGATCTGAAGCCCGGTAACCTGCTCGTCAACGCCGATTGCGAGCTCAAGATTTGCGATTTCGGTCTGGCGCGTGGTTTCTCCGTTGATCCTGAGGAGAATGCCGGTTACATGACGGAATACGTTGCTACCAGATGGTACCGTGCTCCCGAGATCATGCTGAGCTTCCAAAGCTACACCAAAGCTAGTACGTATCCCAGAAGGCGTCGCATGATTGCATTTGAGTTAGATGCTAACCGCGCCATAGTTGATGTTTGGTCCGTTGGCTGCATTCTGGCTGAACTTCTCGGAGGCCGTCCCTTCTTCAAGGGTCGTGACTACGTCGACCAGTTGAACCAGATCCTGCACATTCTCGGTACCCCCAACGAAGAGACTTTGTCCCGCATCGGCTCGCCCCGCGCCCAGGAATACGTCCGCAACCTTCCTTTCATGCCTAAGAAAACCTTCCCCAGCCTGTTCCCTCAGGCCAACCCTGACGCCCTCGACCTCCTCGACCGCATGCTTGCCTTTGACCCCTCGAGCCGTATCAGCGTCGAGCAAGCTCTTGAGCACCCCTACCTGCACATCTGGCACGATGCTTCCGACGAGCCCGACTGCCCCACGACGTTCAACTTCGACTTTGAGGTCGTTGAAGATGTTGGCGACATGCGTAAGATGATCCTGGATGAGGTCTACCGCTTCCGCCAGCTGGTTCGCACCGTCCCCGGAGCTACCCAGGCCGGCACGCAGGCTGCTGGACAGCAGGGTGGCGGGCAAGTGCCAATTCCCACCGGAGGCAACCAAGGATGGAGCTCTTCGGACCCTCGACCTCAAGAGTACGGCGGCCAAGGAGGCGGCCTGGAGGCGGACCTTGCTGGTGGCCTTGATCACCGGAGATAAAGCCGTTGAAAGTTGTTCCTGGATTGGTGCGCTGCGCGAAATCGCGCATGAATGACTAGCAAAATCGGTGTTTGGTTTGCAGACTCTGGCGGGCAATTTCAGAATTTTGTTTTGGATGTGATGTCATTCCGCGATTTTACACGTCAGGTGGGGAGGAGGAGAGAGACAAGCGTTAGAAGACGGTGGAATTGATCTTGATGACGGCCGCTCTTCCATCTGGAGGAGAGAGGAGAAGGAAGAAGAAAAGAGGAGGACAAAGTCGAAATACTGGGGGACTGGATCGCCCGTGGGGTTGAATGAACACGACAAAGATGACAGCAGTCCCCAAATTTACTTAATTCCCTATGATGCGATGTCGCGCTTGTAGTGCTATCGTCCTCTGGGCGGCTACTAGTCGGTTCTGAATCTCTGTTCGCGTGTGTGATGTGTCCGCAGCGAATGAACGCTTCTACTCCTCTCAGTCATGTGGAATGGTGCACTGATGGCGGCCTCGATGGCGGCATACCCGTGTAAGTTTCAGTTGAGCATGTCATGCTGGCTTTTCGCAGGTTCCGTCCGATACGTGTTGACGGCATCCAGTCCACCAAACAAGTTTATATACAAACCATGATATAAGCCATTGACGCAGAGCAAGTGGGTCAAGGATTCTCACTGAAAGATAAGGTTCGCGACGACAGAGGTGTGAGATGTAAATAAGTAGTTTGTTTGCCACCGATGAGACTCTATACCGTCAAACGCCAAAGTAGATACAGTTGAAAATAGAAAAGTGAGAGTGACAGCATATGAAGCCCCAACATCTATCTGCGATGCTTTCCCCTCCACGAGTGGAGTAAGTAAATAGCCATATTATGTCTTAAGTGAGCCCGAACCCGTGATCCGTCCGTGCCGGGGGTATATGATCCAAATATGATTTTGGTGAGTGAATGATGAAGAAGAAAAGTATGTTCCGGGGCCTGTGAAAAGAAACCTCGGTATCCGAGAACCGTTGAACGCCGTTGTAACACCGATTTAGATTTTTAAACGCCAGACTCATCCTAGAAAGTCATCCCAGTGAAAGATTCAGGTCTCTCTGTTCATGCCTTGGGACCATAGAACCAGTAGTACGCCGCGTACGGGACGCTGTCGGTGGCGCCGGGGGTGGTACACTGGTGTGCGACGCCGCCGGCCGTGACGACGCGGTAGACCGCGGTGACACCCTTGCTGCCGCCCTTGTCGCCGAGAAGAAGCCAGTCGACGGAGCCAGTCTTCTCCGGGCCGACGTCAGCGGAGGCCGGGGCCTTTGTGCCGTTGAGCTTTGCGCCCCTGAAGAGATCCTCGCCGACCTGGAAGGTGGGCACGCCCGTGTTGTCGAAGAAGTGGACGCCGAGCTGCTTCATGGGCGCGATGCCGGGCATGACGAGGTCGGCTTTGGCGGGGAAGGGCGAGGTGGCGGAGGCGCCGAATTTGGAGGTGCCGTCGGAGGTGAGGGGCAGAGGGGTGGACCAGACTACGTTTGTGGTGAGGCCGTTGAAGATGTCGACGGAGGCGAGGGAGGCGGGGCCGGTGGCGGGGTAGAGGGGTTGCGCGTCGTAGAGGCCTGCGAGGGCGCCGGTTGCCGTTGCGGTGATGGCGGTCGCGTTGACGGAGGTGCAGGTGTAGTTTTGGATGCCGTGGCCTAGGGCGATGTGCTTGAGGACCAGGTCTGCTGCCGGGGCGGGGAGTTCGACGCCTTGAAGTGGGTGTTAGTGATGCTTTTTCTCTTAGGTTGAAGTTGGTATTGTTGGTTTACATACCATTGCCGTTGACGGGGAGGGTCGGAGCCGAGGGTTTGGAGACGCAGCCGGCTTGTCTCTTGGCCGGGGCGGCGGAGACGAGAGCCAGGGAGGCCAGCAACAGGAAGGTCTTGGCGAGCATGTTGGCTGTTGACTGGGTGGCTGTTGGAGGAGGAGAAGAGGGTGGTGATCCGCGGGTGTTGGATGGGTGATTAGATGTGTAAACGCGAGTAGTAGGCGGGAGAAGGGTAAAAGATATATGCAGTAGCAACCAGGCCACCACACCGAAAATATGCACGACACACGCACGAGGGCCGGAATAAGAGATTGGAGTGATTTCTTTTCTTAGATCGCTTCCTTGGAGGGAAACAGGCAGGTTGCGTCGGCTCCGGTTGGGAAATGGGGAACGCGGCGGGCCGTTTAGAGACAAGACCGGGGGACGGGATTGGTGTGTGGAGCAATTCCTTGAGCTGAGAATAGGTACGGCGCTTAAACGCGCTGCGATGGGGTTGGGGTGGTTGAGGTGGTGCTTCTTTGACCGAGACAAAGATGCAGAGCTAACGTGGGTGACGGGTACTACTAAATATGAAATTGAGAGACAGATGAGGATGGATGAACAATGTTTTCTGAAAAGCAGCGATTCGAATCGAGAGTTGGAAACAAGGAAATGGTCGAAGAGATGAGGAAGGTTTATGCTGTGAGACGGGCCGGGAGATTGAGAAGACGGGACGGAACTGGGAGATGGACTTTATATCATCAAAGTCTGTTGCTCGTTGCTCGAAAGCTTGGTAGGAAGGGGGAGAAAAGACTAAAGAGAGTTGTGGATGAGACGGACGGACGACCGAACCCTGCCACCCATCTCAGTGTGAAGGTGAGGGTAGAGATCCATCTATCCACACCACACTTGCACACACACACACGCACCCGAAGGAGGCGCACTAAGACTTGGGGTTCGGGTCTGACAAGGTAGGCTTCCTTTTCAGAATGCAAGGCGGAGCAAGGGGGGATCGTGCCTTTGGGTCCCCTGGCCAGGGTACATGATGGCATCTGGATCATGGATGTAGTCCATGATGAACGAGTGCAGCAGGATGGAGACACTGGAGAGAGAGAGCGAGATAGACAGACCGAGGAAAGGAAAGGAAACACGGACGCAACCCATTGGGAATGTACCAATGCTCAGTTTGTGTTGCTGATGCTACCTACCGTGCCATTGCCCCTGGTCCATGTTTGGAGGTTCATGTCGCTGCCGTCTTGAAGGGTTACCCTGCCGTTACCATCGAGGGCATCCTTTGATCCAAGGTAAGTAGGTGGCTTTGACTCTTGGAGGCAGAACGCGAGGCGGGAGGTTATCTTTTGGGATGAAGATGGGTATGCGTGTCGTCTTCCTGTGCCACCCAGAAGGGGGAAGAGAGTCGGTTTCTCGCAAGGCAGGCCGACAGAATGGATAGACAAGGGTCCTTGGACAAATTCCTTAAGGCAGAAAAGAAGGTTGTCCTCTTCCTGGTTGGACATGAGACGAAGGGGGTCGAGGCCAAGGAGGATGGAAAGAAAACGGCAGGTCGCGGCGGAGGAGGACGGAGCGTGGAAGAAGTCTGAGAGGTACGTACACTTGAGGATAACGGTACGTACACATTGCAGACTGCGGAGATGCCTGGCGCAATGCGCGTCTAAGGTCGCAAGGCACCAAGGCAGCTGACCAACGGACCTGGAGACGGCAGGAGAGAAGGTGGTGGGGTTGCCAGTGGCTGGGAGGGGCCTGTTTGCCGGCCCTTTGCAGCTTCTTCCGTCAACCGTCACTTTTCACAATTCCGACCGTTTCTTCTGCCTCCACGGAGTACTACGTAAGGTAATGTGTAAGAGTCTACGGCCAGGGCACACCACGTTCTCTGCAGTGCTGCACGTCCACACATTGTACACCGTCACGGGCAGTCATTTCTTCCTGCGGTCAACCTGAGCTCGGCCGGCCTATGCGGATCTTGGCCTCGTAGAAGGCGGCCACAAGTTGTGGAATACCAGGACCCTGCACGGTGAGCCTGGCGACCATGAGTCCATGACATCGCATGGCATGGCATCGCATGGCTCATGTCCCATCCGTCTGACTGCGTCTGGAATCATAGAACACAATCCCGAGAGCAGAGTGTCAATCCTACGTGCCACACAGCCACAAGTCAGAACTTACCAACGCCGCGGCAATCTCATCTTCCGAAGATCACGAACCAAGTGCTGACCCTGGCGCGGTGATGCGCGGGTTTAGATCAACTCATCAAAGACAGGAATTTCAACAAAATAGACGGCGCGGCTGACTCACTTGGACGGCGCTGTCATCCAGAGAGCACATGGCGTCTGTCAGCGAGTCGCTGACAGTCAATCTTGGTTGCCCTCTTGGCTCTTGAAGCACGTTGTAATACGTTGCAAAGCGCGCGGGTCTCCAGAAGCCAAGACTCTTGGTTGTCCCTGAGCCCGTTCTTGGCTTTGTGGAATCTTTGAATCCCTCCAAGATCCTGTGGGACTGGGTCCAAGATAGCCGACATGGTGCCAACTCTGTCGCCTGTTTTGCAAACCTTTGCCCTCCATGTCGCTGTCTCGAAAACCCTCGACTCCCACTGAGACGTCCGCTAATACGCATACAGACTTCGTACTTGTCGTTCCATTTCATTCTCGCGTCGTCAAAATACCTCATTTCTTTTACTGCAACCCACCTGGTTCTCTTCAATGTGGCGCTGGTGGCGTGCCAGGGTCGACTTTTGTACCCTCACAGGAGTCGGGTCTGTCATTTGAACGTCTATAATGTCACCTCACCATTCCGTTTTTCCTCGAAGCCGTTCGACCATCGCGGGTGGGCGCGGCTAGGCGGTCTATTCAACCCCTCACGACTCCATCCTCGTGCGCCTCTTCTGCCCGCCGCTAATCCGCATTCGAGCCACGATGACTGGCTGACGGTGGCGGGGGTCGGCTGCCATGCTTCCGCTAAGCAGACACTCGAAATATAGCACGGCTACTCGGAGGACCGAGATCTTGAGAGGTCCACCCTCTTGCTCACTGGCTCAATAAGCGGGCTTCTGACCAAAGGCAGGTCTCTTTATTTTTGGGAAGCAATCACTTTTCGGTCTGTAGGCCGAAAATACACATGAACGCAAAAACGTGGCAGTCGTGAAAAGACTTGCGTTTGGCTATCTGGAGTCATCTCGTTCCGAGAACTCTTCGGCCTCCCATTTGCTTAACCCCGGAGCACTCTACGAAGGTTCTGCCGTTCATGAGCTCCACCGTCCGCAACTTCCGACTCAACCGGCCGTTTCTCCCGTTTCTCGGCGCCCTTCTCCCTGCATCCAGAACGTTTCGTTTCCTTGCAACCTCGCAAAAGCGCACTGTTCACCACGGGGACAGTGGTGGACAGGGCCGTTGCTCCACTGATCTCCTCCGTGCCATCACATCACGACAGCACTTTAATTCAGACGCGACTGGAACAGTGGAACTCCCTTCTCCTGACGAGATCTTTGATCCAACTCCTCCATGGTATCATGGCAACTCCTTTACAGCTCGACGAACCAACATCGCGAACCTGAAACCTCGTACAGTCACGTCACAATGTTTGGGGATCTGCAATGCCACGCCGGTGACATTTCCAGTGCTACCGACTTTGGGCAGCTTCAGTGTTACAGATCCGGCTAGATTTCTCAGGGGCAATCGGGTAGGAAAGTCGCTCTCCGGAACGCAGAATCTGACGGTGCCGGCCACCGGTGCCTATTCAACGGCTCCTTGTGCACGACTCAAGCTCGGAGCAGCCTCGTCCTTGAAGCTGACGACGGGCGCACACGGAGCTCCGTGTCCTGAAGATTCAATACACATCTCCCTCAGGTCTGAACTTTGAATGCGAAATTGTGGGAACAGGGCTGCGGAATCTCCGTTGGGAAATAAGCTTCTCGCACGAACACCTGAATCACAAATGTCGCAACCGTCGTCAGCTTTCGAGGCTTATAGCAACCGCTCTCACGATGGCTTCAGGCACGAAGACTTGTCAAACGACTTCAGCGAAATTTTCGGCAAACTGGGACTTGATCAAGGCTCCAATCCCTCAACCAGGACTTTGGCTGGCCAGCCAGGGAGAAAGACCAACGACATGGTCAGGCAAAGACAAGCACTACCGGCAACCTTGCACGCAATCTAAGCCCCTGAGCCGATCGCAAACATTGACATGGGATGAAGTCCTCGTGTTCGAAGGCGTCTCAAATATTCCGCGCCGCCCGCAGATTGTCTGATCAGGCATGACTTGTCAGAGACGCCAAAGCCAATTCCTCCGGAGTGTCGCGCTGCGGGCGACTGAAAGATGACGAGCTGAGATTCGTTCCCTTTGGCTCTCCAAGCGAGGGGAAACTTCCCGTTTCAAACGGCCACTAAGCCTTAGCCTACGTTTCAGAGCACAGCGCACTGGCCACAGCCTCTGCGAATCCCTTCAGGTTCCCAGCTGTCCCCGTTGCTCAACTCTGTTGGTCTCCAGGAATTCATCCCCAGACGACCCAGCAAATCCACTTGTACGCGGAGGATCACCCTTTTCGCGAAGCCCTACATTTGGGGTTCGTCCATACTTTCGCCAGTGTGTCGGCGATCAAACCGAGCATCACATCCTTGAATGATAGTAATCACTACCTCCTGAACTACAGGGACTAAATGCGACTTTGGAAACCCCTAACAGTTCCATCGTGCTGCGCGGTGCCTTTGGAGCGACGAAGGCGGCAGGTCGGAGTTGAGTCTGAATCATTGATCTAGATGCCAGCCCCTCGAGACAATCGTATTTGGAAAGTCGGCTTGATCAACGAGGCGCAGTCTGCCGAATCAGCTTTTTCTTTGCTGGGAGATCGTTGGACCGTGATCTGCTTTCTTCCGGGCGGTCGACCCAAGAGAGCGGTACCTTGTGTTTGTGACCGTCTGATCGACGTCAAGCATCCAATTCACAATGTCAAATACACCACTGCCTGCGTCGACACACAGCTTCTGGAAACTGCAGTATTTTCGACTTACAAGAATGAGGTTCAAAACGTGGCCAAGAGACGTGCCGCAATCCTGCATTTCTCACCGTTTTCTGGAACTTTGAACACACCACGGATGGGTATGCAAGCTGTCCAGAGACCGATGTTCCCTCCACAAGAGCTCTCGACGCTACGTGCGGCGCAGATGAGGTCGCGCAGAGTAACACACCAGTTTTCTGAACCCGAGATAACACGCCGAAGCGGCTCCGATGGCACTTGGACAGTACTTTCCTCTCCTCTACGTCTTCTGCGTTGCTCGGACTCTTTCCGAGATACATTATTCTGAATCAAATGGCTGCGATTTTTAAGAGGGGCTCGCCCATGAAGCCGTCACAATCATCACGCGATTCTGCGGTCCCAACCCCCTCTTCACAGGCACACCAGACGACTAGTTCATGTCACACAGACAGAAAGTCCCTCGCTTCTAGCAGCACGCAGGCGGACTAAGGCACAGCCTGCCGTAGCACATCTGCAGATAATCGACAAAGCACTTTCTCCAATTTCAGCAGTCTCTCACGACTATCGCGGCAGTGGACCGCGGCGGCCGCATGGCGTTCTTCGAGCCAATCACCCAGGCTCATGGTCTTGAGCATGAGCGCTTACGTCGCATGCCAACGTTGGACTACCTACTGCAATGCTGCATTGCTGCAGTGTAGGTATCACGACAGAGCGTCCATCGTTCCCCAGCGTACGCTATTGACCTCGCTTACACCGCCTACAGCCGCGGT